ACGCCAGTATGCAGTAACTGCTCTGGTAAACACGCTGGTATGTTGGCCGGCGCCACGGCAATTGGAGCTGGGATGACAGGTTATCACCAGTCAGATCATCCGATGCAGCGGCAGGTTAAGCAAGTCTTTGGGGAGTTGTGTGGTTTGGATTCAGGAGAAGTGAAATGGGGGATCGATGGTTGCAATCTTCCATCGCCTGCCGCACCACTCAACACGCTAGCGAAAATATACGCTTCTTTTGCTGCTGCTGCGGATGCGGTAGAAGCATGCAGCACTGCAACAGCTCGAACACGAGCCTCGAACCGCATCTTTCGGGCGATGACCAAGTATCCCGAGCTTGTGGCAGGCGAAGGGCGATTCTGCACCGAGTTTATCAGAGCATTCGAGGGAATGTCAATTGGCAAAATCGGCGCAGATGGATGCTATTGCATAGGCATTCGAGAGTCTATGCAGACCCGAAACCTGGGGGCGGTTGGAGCTATTGGTATCGCAGTCAAGATCGAGGACGGCGATATCAACATACTTTACTCGGCAGTGTTAGGAATCCTCAAGCTGCTTCAGTTGGGACCACCAGTCATGCACCAAGAGCTTTCATGTTTTCATCGGCAGCAGATTTTCAACACTGTTGGGATTCTCACGGGTCATGTATCCCACCAGTTCAAAGTTCGTCGTATTGGGTTAGCAGAGTAGGACGTTTTGAGCTAGCGACTTTTTCTGTGGTCGCAATAACGTGTTCAGATTCCGCTGGCGGTCCGTCCGTCTCGCTCACTTGAACAAAGAGGAGACTTTATAATAGATATACCATATCCTCCCCAAACGATCAATCATCATGCCTACCTACCTACCTACCTACCTACCTACCTACCTACCTACCTACCTAACATAACCTTACACGATACCCATCCCATAAAAACCCCCATTCATCCCAGACACCACCTAATAATCTCCCACCGGCACATTAAGCCCCCCCCCCCATCCCCACCCTGGCATCTTCAGCTCCCCGACCTTATAAAATACAGAGCTATCCAGGGCAGTCTCTCGCGCGCACCTTCATCTAGATCGTCGCCGTGCAGCTGCTATAGTGAGTTGATATCAAAACTAACCTGCTTGCTAAGGAGGCGGGCGATCCTACCTACATATCCCCATTGGCCCTATTGAATACATATACGTGTAACCTAGTCTAGTTATGCGGGCTCTGCCTTTCAAGGCTTTATTTAAGGCTCGTGGCCTTGAGGTCTATAAAGTGATCCCTAGGAATAGTGATTCTTATAGAAAGGATTATACAGCCATGCTCGACTAAATTACCTTAAGGGAGAGTTTGCAAAGCTATAGCCTATAGTTAGTCCTCTATTTTTCCTCTCTCTTATCTATGCATATAGGTACCTACAAATTGACCTATAAAGATGTGAACGTGTGTAGTCAATTGGCTTTATTAGGTTTTTTACTAGATAAATAGAACGCAATCTAAGTGACTATGGAAAGCTAGCAAGTTTAATGTGAGTACATTTGTGGAAGTCATGCACCTAAGGCTCCTATTAGGGCATGAATACAAGCAGGATGACCTTCACTACCGACTTCGCGTCCGTCTAAGAGGACAAGTACTCATCGCAAGAGCAAAGATTGAGGGTACAAGGAAACGCTAAGTGCTAGAAGCACGAGGAATCCTTCAACGCAAAGGTAAGAAATACAATGTTCATGAAACCACCTAAGTCAAGCACCATGACCAGTCGCATTGTCTGTCGTATTAACTGGATGTGGTTTGCTGGGTTTCCGAAATGGAGAAGAGAGAAGGAGGAAGCTGTGGAGACTCGTATTGGTCGTTGCTGGCTGTGGGTGTATCAGACTGCCAGAATGGCTAGAGCGGCCAGGGCAATTAAGAAGTAGTGTTGTCGAGCACTATTTACCAAACCGGTTCATTGCGCTGCCAAAATGTCCCCTTGTCCAGATCATGAGCTTCATTAACTGCATCATGCCGAACCTGCATTTCTTCGTGCTTATTCTTCCTATTATCAGTAGACTTGCTGACAATAGGCTTATCGACAGCAAGCCTATTAATAACACCGTACCTAATAGTATTATCATGAAGCTTTCCCGCAACCGTAGCGGTACCAGCAGTAAACTCATCAACGCACATGTCATACTGCTCGGTCTCGCGGACAACGCAGCGAACGCCCTGACTTTCGGAATGTTGGGTGAGTGCACCAGCTGTGGTGAAGAATCGTAGGCAGTTCCTGCACTTGAATTTACCGCCAGCGTGAGCTTGGGATCTCAAGTGCCCTAAGAAAGCGCCAGCATGAGGGAATGTTTTCCTACGATAGGATTAGAGCAAAGCCAGTGACAGGAGAGTCTCTTGAGACGCAAGATGACTTACATGCAACCGGGGAGGTGGGGCACTTGTATTTGCCGATGAAGGAAACATAATAATTGCCAATCTTGAAAGCTGGATCGTTTGGGTCATGTGGCGCAAATTTGGTGCCTTCATCGGTGATATCTAACGATTTGAGCATATGGATAAGAGGTGAAGGAGCAGCAATAGGAGGAGATGCAACTACAGAGGTTGCGGTGGTAGCCGGAGCCGCAGTTGCGTTCTGAAACAAGTTCTTCATGACTCCCCACGGATTGATAGATGGAGTGACAGCCACAGTCTCAATAGTGGTAGGGCCGTTGAGCTGGTGTATTTCCTTTGGTTTGTGTTGGGACGCGAGCGGGGGAAAATCTACTGGGTTGATGACCTTTGAAGTCTGAAGGGCGACCGCTGGCTTTGCTAGCTTGGGTCTAGCAACCGTGCCAACAGAAGTGGTGTCAGATTTCAAGTCCTCTTCCTGCTGTGCAATGAAAGCCTTGACCTTGACAATGGCCTTGGCCTTTACCTCCTCGGTCTTCATTGTGAGTGGTGCATTTAGAATCTCTTCGGCGACGAAAGAATCATGATAAGCGTCGAACGAGATCAGATCCTCATCAGCTTTGGCTTCCACCACTGAAAGAGCATCGTCAGGCAATAGATCAATCAGAAGCTGATGGCGGGGTGGGTACAAAATCGGAGAGCTGATGTTGAAGACAGGACGGCGAGAAAGATGGCTGGCTGAAGAGAGAAAGAAAACAATATCAGCAGTGAATATGACAGTTGTTTTGGATGTCTAAGCTTACAAGGTCGACTCTCGCTAGCACCATCAAGTCGGACACTGCCGGGCTCAGATTCATTGGAAGGAATAGTATCCATGGGGATTTTAGCTAGGTTCTCAGCTTGGTTGGCGAAGTTCCCAGAGGTTTGGCCGAACTGATAAAGCTGGGAGATGTTGTGGCGATTATTGTAGTGCAGTTCGCGTTCCTTGACTTTTTGATGGAATGTCATGCCGTCAGGAAGTCTCGGACCACATTGGTCGAACTCTAGATGGGAGACCAAGCCACCTAGGCGCAAGAACTTTGTACCACATGTCTGACAATGAAGGTTCTGCTCGGCGGCATGGTTCTAGACGACGTTAAAAGAGGCGCATGGAAGATGGGATAATAAATCAGCAGAAACTAAAGGTGGAGGTGAAAATGGAGGTGAATTTGAAGTTGGACTGACCTGAAGCTGATGACGCTCGCATGCTCCCTGGGTACCGAAGTCCTTGGAGCAGATCTTGCAGGTGATGTGATATGGGCTGCTCAGCTTGTGCTCATGGAAGAGCTCCCAGGTCTTGAATTGCATATCACACTTCTCGCAGAGGGTCGGCTCTTCACCCGGAGCTGGCTCGGGCAGACTGCGCTTTTGCACGGGTCTGGCGGGCATCTTGACGGAATGCGACGATAGAGGAAGCTGGGGAGGTGGGGAGGGAGAGAAGGAGACAAGGAGGAGGGAGATCAGGAAAGGGTAGATGTTTCAAGCAAACACAGGTACAATACAAGACGAGGGTAAGGGTGAAGAACGTAGAGAGAGCTGTTTAGAAGAGATACTGGAAGCTATCCCCGTGACGGTAGTGGTGGTGGTTGTCGCCGTGTGTTGTGTTATGTGGACAACTTGATGTGAAGGATTTGTTTTCAAGGACAGACGGAGGGAAGGAGAGGAGAGGGGAGAGAAGTAACTGGCAGGTTCTCGCTTGTTGTGTCGTCGCCGAGAACAGCAAGTGCGAGTAATAGTGAATTCGCTATTGCACCCCAGTGACAGAAATTACATTGTGCCGAACCTACCTATCTTACGAAGTAAAGAAGGATGGAAAGTTCAAGAACGAAACGGGTCTTAACTCAAGTAGAACTTAATGAGACACAGTACATTTTAATCAAACGAGAGAAAGTGTAGAAAATAGTAGCTTCCATGTGAGATTTCTGTACTGGAGGCGACCTACTCGAGCATCTCAACCCGAATGGAATACAGTCTACTGGTAACAGAAGGACAATCTATCTAGGTGGAGTCTAGGATAATAACTGAACTTCCTATAAGTTCTTTTGAAATGACAGATTGCTAATATTCGTTGAACTTTGATGATTAGAGTAATAGCAGAAAGGATATATAACCTTTCCTTTGTGCAGGTCATTAAAGCTCTCAGACGGACGTCCAATAAATAGATGCTAGAGAGACATACACGCAACTAACGGTCTTCCCAAGTTGATATCTCTGATACTGGTTTTCAATAATTGTATCACACATCTCATATGCCAATGAACGCGCGGGTTAAGAGGAATAAAAAGGGGTAGAACTCGCCATCTCTCGCTTCAGCGAATCTCTGTTTGAAGTCGTGTAAATGTCAGAATCGCCATCTAAAAAGTGTCCATACATAGCATACAATGTCTGCCTTCACGGTAAGAAATATCAAAAGTTCCTTTCAAGAATAAATACTCACCCAGTGAGATGGGATGTCGCGTCGTCTGAATCAACATCTCGGACCAACCTTCTTCCGCCCCGACCTTCCGTGTCATGTTTCGTCAGCAACAACTCCGCCTCGAGCCTCGTTAAAGGATTCGATACAACACAACATGCCCCTTTCCCCTTCCCCCTTCCCTCTCATGACGCCTCCCAAGTAATGGCCACCCTCGCCCCTCCAAGTCCACCTCATTCCCCCTCCAGAATGCCAACGCCCCGAGGTTGGGCTCGAAAAGTAGAGCGCTGCTGCTGCGTAGGCGCAACGTATTTCCCGCTGTTCTTCGTATACAGTATCACGACCTGGGCCGTCTGGGTGGAAGCTACGATAGGATTCCTACCTACTCAAGGCGTATGGATTGGTATATACACCTTTTCCAAATACATGCCATGCCATGCCATACTAACGACAGCTGTTATCTAGGAAGAGGAACATCCATTCTCGGAATAGTAATCTACATCCTCCTCAACTGGTCCTACACTACCGCCGTCTTTACATCCCCCGGCACCACGACCAGCGAGCATAATGGCTACAGCGCCCTACCAACTCACACCCCGAATGCGACGAATTTTACGGTCAAAAGTAATGGCGAGTTGCGCTTCTGCAAGAAATGCCAGGCCCGGAAGCCAGACCGCGCACACCACTGCTCTACCTGCCGAACCTGCGTTCTGAAAATGGATCACCACTGTCCATGGCTAGCTACCTGCGTCGGGCTACACAACTACAAAGCGTTCCTCCTCTTCCTAATATACACGACAGTGTTCTGCCTCCTATGTTTCGCGGTATCTGCGACTTGGGTGTGGAGAGAGATTTTGAATGATGGGGAATATACTGAGTCGTTGATGCCGGTGAATTATGTGATGCTGGCTGTTATTGGCGGGATTATTGGGTTGGTGTTGGCGGGGTTCACGGGCTGGCATATACTGCTTGCTTGTAAGGGACAGACTACGATTGAGTGTCTGGAGAAGACGAGGTATCTGAGCCCGTTGAGGAAGTCGATGCAGCATCAGCGGATGAATGGTGGGATGGAGTATGGGCAGCAGATGGATGAGATGAATGGCGCGCAGCAAGATGGACAGCGTCAGCAGTATGATGCGTATGAAAGAGAGCGAGCACGGCGGAGGTACGAAGAATATCTTGATGAGCAGGATTCCGAGAAGCTACCAAGTGCGTTTGACCTTGGATGGAGGAGAAATCTGCTTCATCTTTTTGGACCGAAGAAAGCTTTATGGTTCCTTCCAGTCTGCAACACTACAGGAGATGGATGGGCCTGGGAGCCGAGTCCAAAGTGGGTGGCAGCAAGAGACAAAATAGCACGGGAACGAGATTCTCAACGCCAACGAGAGGCAGCTGCTGGCTGGGGCGAACCACAATCTCCGGTATTCCCTGTGCAGCCACAAAATGGAGCCGCAAGGCATTACGTTGGCTCATATCCTGCAAGGTCGACATCAAAAGCCGACAGGGTTTTGGGTAGAGCAACTTCAAAAGCAGACAAGATCTTAGGTCGGGAGCCAGACGAGTATGCAGATGGAGTTGACGTTCGAATGGACAATGTGTCCCTGCAGAATATTAGACCTCGAGGCTCGCCAGATCCATATGCGATCAGCAGTGACGAGGATGAAGTTGAGCAGAAGACTTTGGACCGGAAAGCAGCTGTGGGATGGCCTCAGAAAGTCGGTGTGGTAACGAATACATTATTGGGGAATACGCTTGCGAGGCAGAAGGATACTGATGAACGAGGATGGGATGGTCAGGATGATGGCGTTGATTAAATATTGAAGGAATGTTACTTCGGCGTTATATCGTAGGGACTGTATAATAGGAATACCCTTAGTTATGGATAGATGATATACATGTATATTACGACTTCTAATACATTCTCCTTGTCTACTACAGTGTTTACAGCGGCCTTTATAAAAGGGCTGCTATTTATAAACTTTCAAACCAGCAGACCCTTGATTATGCTTCTAGCACTTGATTGTTATCGACTTCTCATATTATATGCCACCTAGCATCATATAAATTAGTGCCGCTCTTCCATCCACCATAAGACATCTTCTTTTCATAAAGCTCGCCGTAAAACACTCGAGCGCCTACGTAAATTCAAACCTCACTCACAGACGACCATCACGTGATCATAATTACCCCCATCTTATCTTATCTTATCTTATTCCCGAACACCAGCTCTCGCGACAGCTGTCCAGTTCGTTCCTGTTCTCAACTTTGCATCACACATAGCATCCATCATACGAACAACATAAATAAGAAGAGATAAAATCAATGCATCGCTCCTATTAACGATTAACGATTCTTCCTCTTGCCCGAATTCAGGCTATTACGTTGCTTTTATTGGTGATTATGGCAACACCTGGTGCACCGAGATTCAACTCAAAGTCCCCCACTATAAAACGAATCCGTAAGCTCCCTTCACATCACATCGCATCAAGTTATATATTCTCTTCTCTTTTTCTCTTTGTTCAAGTGCAAGAACTAACACCCCACCCCACAGTCCGTGAAGCAGCAGAGCTATCCACAACCCCCTCCCCCGACTACCACGCCGCGCCCGCCACAGACGCCGACCTATTCAACTGGCACTTCACACTGCGCGGCCCCCCTCCTCCCCCTACGCCTCTGGAATCTACCACGGGCGCATAATCCTACCCTCCAGCTACCCACTGCGTCCTCCATCATTCCGCTTCCTCACCCCCTCCGGACGCTTCGAAGCAAACCGCGAGATCTGTCTCAGTATCAGCGGACACCATGAAGAAACGTGGCAGCCTGCGTGGGGGATCCGCACGGCGCTGGTAGCGCTGAGGGCGTTTATGGAAACGGATGCGAAGGGGCAGCTTGGTGGGGTGGAGATGAGTGAGGAGGGACGGAGGGGCATTGCGGGGGGGACGCCGGGGTGGAGGTGTGGTGGGTGTGGGGGGAGGAGTAACGGGGAGATTTTGGGGGAGAGGGAGGAGGCTTTTCGGGCGATGGAATTGGAACGGGAACGGGAGGGGGAGAAGGCGGAGGGGCAAGTGGAAGTAGAGGTGCCGAGGGAGTTGCAGATGGGGTTTAAGGATGAGATGGGGAAGGGGAAGGAGAAGGAGAAGGAGAAGGAGGAAGCGGATACAGAGGAAGCGGAGTTGGCGGAGGGGTTTGTGAGGACTGCTGATGTTGCGCCGGTCGATGAGTCGGTACAGCCGGCACACAATCCTCCACCTACACCTACTCCTCCTCAGCAACTGCCGCGGACATCGCATCTTCCTCTCGTACCTCAAACGCCGTATCGCGCTCCTGCTCCTGCGCCGCTTCAGCAATTAGCTCTACAACCACCACAGCCACAAGCACACTCGAATGACGGAGTGCCCATGTGGATAGACAGAGCGATCGCAGGTGTTGTAGTGTTATTAGTAGCTCTGGTTTTAAAGCTGCTACTTGGGTTATAACGTAAAATCGATTCTTGTCTTGCTCAGGGAGGGAGAGAGGGAAGCTTTGTTTATATCGTACGTGTTTGGTGTTAGGACTGGTTGTTTTGGTTTGGCGTTTAGATTTGGGATTGGGAATGCAGAATGAATACGTGCATGTATAGGGAGAGAGGGAGGGAGGGATAGTTGAAATCGATCGATAGGTTCTGAGATCGGATTAGTAAATTGAGTGATTAAGCAATCGATGCTCAAATACAAACTATAGTTCCGAGCCTCTCTCTTGTTAAGTATATGCTGATCGAAAGTTAAATTTATTGATATACTACTAATTAATTATTTATACTATCCCCTTCACCCTCTCCTCTCCTTTCTCCTACCTCTACCACATCCCTATCTACTCCCTCCTTCCTATCTTATCACCCAACTTCACCCAACCTCACCCTCTTATTCCCCCTCTTCTTATTATTCACCTCTATAAAAAACAGCCTCTAGCATATCTTTCTTTTTTTCTTCGTTCCTTTCTTCTCTCTTTTCTCCTTTTCTTCTATCTATATATGCATATCCGTTTATTTACTTTATCTCTACCACGTGCCCATCAGTCCGATGACTAAGCAGCGATGAGGCTTTTCACCTCATCGTCGCAACCTTAGCTAGAACCTTTTCTACACCTAGAAATGCAACCATAAAACGACATCTAGGCCAGCACTAGTGCACACCTCGTGATACCCATAAGAAAACACTATCTTATTGACTTTTATATAGCTTTTTAGAAAAGCGCTAGTAGTACTAGTAATATTATTATTTAATATTATTATTTAATTCAAATTATAAATTAATAAAGCGCTAAGACTAAGTTACATGACTAGCTCCACATCCAAGACAAAGTCTGCGGAATGAAAAGGCTTGCACAGGCAACTTTTTAGTGAATTTTGGTGCACACATGTGATTTCATTCCGCATACTCTTTCTCGGACGTAGAGACTAGAAAGGTCGGGATACAGGCTTTACGTCGGAGAAAAAGTTTTCGGAATGGAGTCACATGTATGCATCAAAATCCGCCAAAATCCGCCTATGCACGCCTGTTTATGGCGACAATGTTTTCTCCTACGTAGAGACAGGTTAATTATCCCAATAGTATATATTAATCAAACTAGTGTAAAAAGGTCAAGTTATATATTATGGATTGCATATATTTTAGCGGGTATAACCAAATACCCGAAGACTACTTTTATGGTTAGTTGTGCTTATGTCAGCAGCTAGAACATTCAAGAGACGTAACCATCTCCAATGAGGTTCTATATAAGACTACAGTCATTACCATTAGATAGAAGCTTCGTACTTAACTTAAGTAAAGTATTTCAGTATATACTTGGTAACAAGATGACGATTTTCCTATATACTTGACCGTCACTGCACACCTGCCAACCTAACCAATCACATCGCTCAATCTAGAAACACCAACCACCCAAACCGTTCGTTACCACCAACATCCGTATTTCAGCTGGCAAAAAAAGCTCTTGCCAATGCCCTTGAATGACAAGTTGTTGAATAAGAGCACTCCATAAGTCTTGGTTTGATTGACTGATAGCGTATCATGCACTTGCCCAAAATATCCACGACAGGGCAAGCAGAAATTTGACAGCAGCGGCAACCCATAGCATTGTCTGAACTCCTCCGGTTGCTTTATAGACCCAACCACCTACAATCGCTCCAACCAAGGTCAATATAAAAGCAGCTGCTCTTCTATTTCTCTTGGGGTTTTTGATATGCGAGTCAAACAGTAATGGATCTGAGAAAAGATCGCAAAGTAGACTTGTTATCACCACGGTGGGAATCTCGCCCACATCCAGCGCCCTACTGCTTACAATCTGACCAGCAGACTGAAAGCTCAAGAGTGCTATAGGAGCAAGTTGGTTCCAGTGTACAATTGGAGTTCTTGAGACCGTTCCATCGATGGCTCCTCCTTCTATCAGACCACTGGCGATAAGTATACAGATGCTCTGTAGTAGGAAAGAGCTCACAATTGTTCCACGTCGGCGAGCACCGAAGGTGCGGTTAAACCGAGAGAAGAATAAAGATCCAATGATGAAGAAGCCAATCGATGAGAGAGATCTGGCCCAGCCGTATGGCCTAGTGTTCTGGCCAGATGCACCGAGAGCAACAAATATTGTATTTCCTACTTCGAGTTAATGATTGTTGACAATATGAGGCACAAGTAGTCCACCGAAATTTCGTATAATCGGGGTTTCCACATACCGGTTTGCATGGACACGAAAGTACTAAATGCTGGAAGAATTGTCAGTCTGTAGTTCCACCTTTATTCCAGAAGACTCTACCATTGTAGAACGTGCTATCCACGAAACCGGTGACCAAGCAGCACAGCAACAGCAAAAGATCGGCATGGTTTGTGGTAACTTCAATGCTAAAATAACTTCGTAGATGTGACAGTCCAGAGGATTTCTGGGGAAGTTCATTTGAATGATCCCCTACTGGCAGGCCCGCAAAAGCTGAAGCTGTTCTATTCTCGACTTCCGACATAGCTTTTGAGAAAGGGGGATTTGGAAGATACCAAGGATGGTTCAAGAGAGAAAGAGAGAGCCTGTCGGTAGAATATGTCACGATGGAGGGGGCAGATCTAGGTATGTGGAATGGAGATCTGAACACAAGAGTGATGCAGCCCGGTGATAACAGTATATATTGTCAGTTTAAGATATACAAGGGGATGCAACTCCGTAGGAGAACGCATTCTCAGCATGGTCCCTGATATCTACATCGGACATCATTTGTTAGACCGAACGACCCGGATAACAGGTGTGGATAGCCAAGCCATTTCATCATTGGCATTATTGATGAATGATGGGAAAGGTGGAGCGAAATTGACGACTGAGGCAATGAGCTCCGTTAGCCCGCGGGCCAGCCCGCACGCCAAGCACCTCCTAATTTATAGTGGGGCCGCATAGAAAGCCAGTGAGTGAGTTCATGACTGCGTTTTTATTTGACTTTGAGACAGACATGTAGTGAACTTCAACCACCTACTTGATTCAATCAAATCTTGCCACCAATTTCGACTTTTTCAGTCCTCCAAAGATGAGAAGCCATGCTCCTGCTGTGCCTATAGGTCGGCATATTGTTACTCCAAATGCAATAAGTATTGGATGCAATCCAGCACGCAAGCCGGCATTGTCTGTATATTGACATGAATAGATTGCCAAGGATTTCACAAGCACATACTACAGAGAAGAAAGAGATTTAGTAAAGATACCGGGCCGATTTCGGCCTTCTACGAGGTTGATGTTCACACCACAGTCTATTGCTTCACTCTTCATAATAGCCGCCCTTGGTATTTCAGTTGCAGCCACGAGATACCCCTTCAAGACTGGATAAGAGCTCTACAATGACCTTGGCTACATATATGCAAGGTTCTTTTTGTAACGTTGCTGCTCAGCAAGCCAGTGGGTAGTAGTATTCGGGATGGACTACGCTTTCCAGTGGCGATTGCATATATTGATTGTATTATATTGATTGCATTGAGTGTATGGGTGCATCTTGGTTTCTGCGAGAACGGCAATGAGAGAGAATGAGGTGACTGGCACCGAGTCTCTTATGAATATTCGCAAGTTAGCAGTTAAATATTACATACACACACTTCGTGGAAACTTCGGAGCCAGGGACCTATATAACGCCGTATCTTCTTCCCTTGATCTTTGCTCTATAACCTTATGACAGTCATCACCGGACAGCAATATCGGTTCTCATCTCTCCTCCCAGTAGAGAGAAATAGTCCTCTTACACCTGCACCTATATTTTCTGGCTCTCATCATCGATTTCTGGAACTACTTCCGGTCTTGAGTACTTCTTCTACCACTGACAAAATGGAGACTATATCCCTTGTAGAGACACAGTCCCTTCTCGAAAAAGAGGTATTGGTTCCTCAAATTTCGCCCTCGCACAAGTGCACAGGCTAATGACAAGAAGCATCCCATCCTCAGTGTTCTCGGTGCTCCTACTGCTACGACGACTGTAGATCCCCTAAAGGTCACCGTCGATCTTCCTGCAGAATCGGACAGCATTCTCGTCTCCTTCAACAGAGTTAGCCAATCTCCTATTGCAGTCCCGAAAAATATGTCAGCAGCAACAAAACTCAAGAAGATGATCGAAGAAACCGATGAGTTGATTGTATGCCCCGGTGTTTATGACGGCCTCTCAGCACGTATTGCACTGCGTGTGGGCTTTAGTGCTATGTATATGGTAAGGCTTCAACCATACTGGAACACTATTGGCAGCGTTTATTAACCCGCTTGTGATGTATAGACCGGTGCTGGGACAACAGCCTCTCGTCTTGGTCAGCCAGATCTAGGAATTGCCCACCTCCATGATATGAAAGAGCACGCTGAAATGATTGCCAACTTGGAGCCCTACGGCCCGCCTCTTATCGCTGACATGGACACTGGTTACGGAGGTCTGTCACTACATTTACCCCCTTGAATATTTTCTGACTGACCTTCTGCTATCAGGGCCAATCATGGTGGCCAATTCTGTCAAGTCATATATCCGCGCTGGTGTAGCCGGTTTTCACATCGAAGATCAGGTCATGAACAAGCGATGTGGTCATTTGAAAGGCAAGAAGGTCGTTCCCGAGGAGGAATTTTACACACGCGTGCGTGCCGCCAAGTCAGCCAAGGATGCAATGCATTCAGACATCGTTCTGATTGCTCGCACCGATGCACTACAGATGCTGGGATACGATGAGTGTGTCAAACGCCTTAAAGTAGCACGCTCACTTGGCGCTGACGTGGGCCTACTCGAAGGTTACACTTCAAAAGAAATGGCTGCCCAGGCAGTGAAAGATCTCGCACCTTGGCCAATTCTATTGAATATGGTAGAGAATGGTGCAACACCTATTATCACTACCAAAGAAGCAAAAGAGATGGGGTTCAGAATCATGATTTTCTCATTCGCGTCGATTGCCCCGGCGTATGTGGCTATTCAAGCTACGCTTGAGCGACTTAAGGCTGAAGGAGTGGTCGGAACGCCGAAAGACTTGACCCCTTTGAAACTCTTTGATATGTGTGGACTCCAGGATTCTATGACCGTTGATACAGAAGCTGGGAGTTTGTCTTTCGCTAGTGGTGTTTAGCTTTGCCCTGACTGATTTTCTTCTTCCCTTGGATTTCCTCGAAATTGAAATTTCATGGAGGGCTACTCACACTGCTAGATGGTTGCTTTCGGTATTTATAAGGTAAATAGGAGACAGCATTCCTGAGCCAATATACCGATGCTGCACTGATACTCGTTCTTGGTTTATGTTGGGATATATGTTCACGTGTACCAAGTGATCTTAACTTCAATGACTAAGCAGCGATGAGGCTTTTCACCTCATCGCCGCAACCTTAGCTAGAACCTCTTCTACACCTAGAAATGCAACCACGAGACGACATCTAGGCCAGCACAGTGGACACCCCTTGTAAAACCAACAGTTTAGGAAACAATACAATAAAGGAGATCCGACGTAAATTCCTTAAATGGAGAGTTATCTGTAATATCCTGACTCCGAGTATAGAGGATAAAGTGTAATAAGTAGACGCTAATACTCAATGTGGTAATGAGTAATAACAGCAATGTAACATAGATTGATTGAGTAAGTTGGGAAGCCAATCGGCCAAGATAGAGGAGTAGATAATTACGCATGGTTCAACAGTTAGTAACATTTAGGTACTAGTACCAGCAGGATAGAAGACAGATTTTGGGAAAGGATAAGGGACTGGCACCTAGGATCAATTGATTGTTTGATTGAAAAAGTTGTTCATAGGCTGTCATCGTGAAGATATCATACAGGTCATTTTTTCTTGCGCTTCAGATACTCGTGAGTCACATATTCACGCATTTTCCCTTCTCTCTAAGCAAAATCAAGGTGCTCAGAATCTAGTGCTCTGCAGGGTGAAGCAGTTGCCCGTGTCCATCCTTCTAGAAACGTCACCGGGCCTCTTAGCGGCGACCTTGCCTCGCTGTATTCCCGAATATCTTCGTAAGCGTGGGATATCAACCCTACGGAGACATTGCTAGAACTTGTTCTTACGCATGCCTCCGACGAGAAGATTTGGAGTGATATGATTTCGGTGGTCGCGCGATCAAACCTTGCTACGCCTCCAATTGCCTTCCAGAAAACCGTCTTTGATGACACGCCGATCCGATCTAGTTCCGCTTCTCAGAGAGGGCTTGAGCAGATACATGACGAAGTTGATCAGCGAATACTCGAAGAACCTACTAAGCGAGTATACTACGATGTGGAAGGCTTCCATGACCCATGCTTCGAAGGAAACTCCTGGACGAAAAACACAAGAAATATCTACCAACGGTTGAGATTGAAATCCAAGTATGGAGATGGTTGCTGGGTAGGATGGCTAGAGCCTTCAATCCAAGATTCTTTTTTTGGGTAGTTCGTGAAGCTTCAGGACATTGTTCTCAGCGGACTTGGCCGCAGGTATTACACATCAGCGAACGATTATCTGAGGGGCTCGGAGGTTGATCGTGAGCTTGATGTTTTGCTCAACTCCGCCGCTAAGTTGGCCTTACTGGATATCGAGCGCGACCGGTCAAATGTTCATGTTATTCGGGAACACACACAGAACGCTGAAGATGATGGTTCTATAAAGACACTGGTACAGATGGCAGGCTATGCGCGGGAAATGTTTAGAAGCCAATCAGGTCGGCGATTTGTGTCTGAAATCACGATTTGCGATAGTCTAATGCGACTTTGGAGTGTACTTGTAATTAACTATTAGAGAAAAGCTATGCTATAGATCTAGAGAACATAATAACTATTTTATAGTATTTATAAATACAGATTAGATAAGTAATAAGTCTAATAAAAAAAGCATCTCTAAAGGGATAATTTATCTTAGTTTATAATGCTACTTCACCGCTTACAAGGCTGTACCTGCATAGAAGCTATTTAATGCAAGTACCGGTAGTATGTCACTTTGTACGTACGCGGTATATAGTAGAGATATGGGGTTGCGTTGCTTGGGATGTTCAGTACCTATAAATAGAAGGTTCTAGCTTTGTTTACGTAGCGGTACCAGTATGCGTAGACTTAGACTACGAAGAATGCGGTAAAAAGTGAGGAATGATCGGCGCTAGTGGAGTTAAGGTAACCCAATGGTCCCTTTAGGGCATATAATGATTTGAGTGCTGTAATCTAGTAGGCAGTCACTAAAACGATAGGCTGTTAAGCCCTAAGGGTCGCTATAGTTACAGGACTCTACTCTATCGCTAAAGTACAATGCCTTGTAAATCAGTGGAGCTTACAGCGCACTGCCTGAATATGTTATACTTTTGACCGCGGCTCTTCGTGGATGAAAAAACTGTCGGAATTAAGGCACCAAAACTCGCTTGTCTATTCCGGTAGTTCTTTTATCCACGAAGAGCCGCGGTCTTCGTAGATAAGAGGCGATCGGGATGATCGTGACGATCAGGACGATCTCACTTTTAAATACTCCGAATATAGCAAGTGGGTTTACAATTCATCTAAATGTGGCTGCGACAGGCTGTAAGGCTGATCTTGGTGTACGAAGTACTCCGTATATAGTAAGTGAGCGCAGTTCGTTCCATTACTGGTGCGGCTGTGAAAGGCTGCATGAATGATAAGAAGAGGGGTAGATTAAAAGAACGATAGCGATGATCATAAACAAGTCGTCGGGCCTTTATCTGACGGACAGGACAGGGTAGAAATAAGTAGTGGGAAAAGCTATGAATTATTCCATGAATGGTTTGCACAGTTCTGGAATGCATAGCTTGGGAATTGTATCAAGTTATACATATGTACAAATTATACAGTGCTACAAGTTCTATATACAAGCATGCTTATCTTCCATAATAATCAAGATGTTGAATCGACTTACAAATTACCTCAATATATGTTTCAAAGACGAGACCTCTACATCTACTTCGACCGACCTCACGATCCCCGCATTTGAAGACTTAGCTAGCGGCTCTTGCGAGATAGACCCTGATTCGGAGCCCGCTCTGATATGGTTCTCCGTGGCTCCGACGTGCACACCTTCGCGTCCGACTAATTCTAGATAGGAGCCGTCGTTGGGCTTGCTGGCTTTCGATTGGTAGTAGTGGCTGGGACCTCTTGAAGTAGCTTTTGCGGTACTGAGGGTTTTGTCTTGGATTAATCGCTTGGCTAGTGATGCGAATGCTGGCATAGAGCTGCAGATTATTGCGGAGTCGATTTCACATACACTGTTGAGCGCGGGTCAGTTAGCAAAAGTCTAAGGTGTTGGAATGGGGGTCCGTACATTGAAAGGTATAGGATGTTTGTATTCCAGGAGGTGTCCGGTGAGTAGTTGACCTTGATTCGATATACCAAACCAACAACGCTAGCTGCACAACCACTTTATGATCATTAGCCGCTGCTTTCGCATCACCATGGATTTAACGGGGGGTAACTAACAGAATCCCAGTGAGGAATATACCTCCAATCCAAAGTTTCTTGTTCCGATGCATCTTCAGGTTCCAAATGATCGGTAGCGGAATATACAGCATCCAGAAGTCCGTCACAACATTCAATGTGCCTTGAACAATAGCAAAAGGCAGGAATCTCGAACACCGCGCGTATACCGAAGCATCCGCCCATCCCTGGCCCTTGAAAGGGGCACAGAAGCCGGACTGAAGCGGCACGTTGACCCAGTACAACGCAACACACCAGCCCATGGTGATCCAGATAATGATGTTGAAGCGTTTTTGGCTACCGCTAAAGAGGCGACGGTAGAGGAATAGAACGGAGGCTTTGGCGAAGAAGGTTCCTGGGCCTAAGATGGTGCTGATGGCAAAACTGTACTGGAAGGAAGCTTGTTATTGAAGAATCCATTGGGCGTTGAGAAATATAATACCTTGGCCCGCTTAACATCATACCAACTTATTGGCATGTCCCATTGGTGTTGGAAAGTGTAACTCTCTGGAAATGGGGTTAGTACTTGCAGATTGCACCAAGTTCGTTTAGCTACTCGAGAGCCTTACGTTGTAGAACTAGACCAGTAAAGCCAGTTGTTATAATCTGAACTTTGGCTTTAGCATTTTATATAGTAATAGGACGCTGAAGACCACATACCACCGCAATTGCACAAGTCCCTGCAAACGATTAATACTTCTCATTGAGATATCTAAGGGGAAAGTCGCTTACAATCGTCAAGGCCCACGGTTCGGTTTAAATAAACATTGATAGCTCTACCAGATGAGAATATAAATATTAAAGAAAGCATAACAGCACAAACAACGATCGAGACCCTTTGATCATTTAGAGGGTTGATGAGGTTGGGTATAACGCCAGGTGGCGGAGGTGCCGCCGGCGTCTTGGTGGGATCCATGGAAGGATCCATTGTTCCAAGAGCTTCAGAAAGCTACTTATTGGACTTTTCGACAAAGCGAAACTGGCAAGTGATCATGAAGAACTCGATATTTGAGGTTATCCATAAGAATGAAGGTTTGTATTTAATTTACAAATGTGGAAGATTGCAACCATGCATCCACCTAGACGCATCGCATCTTCGACCATGGCTTTGAAGCTTACTTGACGCACGCATCCTTTGAGATCCGTGTATCACGGCGGCACAGCAAAATGGTGGTGTGGTGACAGGTTCCCTCGGAGCTTACTACGACTTTAGTCCACTGAACATTAATGCGCTCGTCAGCCACGACGGCCCTAGCCGTGCCGCTTACCCACACTAGAGTAGATGGCATTTAAAAATAATCGGCGAGGATGGGGTAAAGAACAATACCGCAAGACCGTTATAGTATGCGGCAATTGGCACGGAAGCCCTTCCGAACACTGTTCAAGTTTAGCCACGTGCATTTTCTTGCCACGCCGCATAATTATCCGGTCCAAGCTGCACGAAGGCGTTTCCCGCATTCGATAATTAATATAATAAAGTTACGGTAAGAATTAAACCTACCTCCGTACGTAACGAGCAGGGTTTCATGCTGATATGCGTCCATGCTGGCTGTAGCACCGGTGCATCACCTTCCGTTATAGATCCAATGGCGTTGGCAAAAGAAAACTATTCTTTGTAGGTCTTACCGATGGCGAGCGATGGCACTGTGCTCTTCCTCGGCGATTAGTTAGAGCGTGCCATCCCTGTACTTATTGCAGATATTATCCGTTTTTGATTGCCAAGTGCTGCCCCGGTGGGGTAGGAAGGGTAGCGCCACCTTCCAATATTGGCAGATGTATGGAAATATTTCGTAAAAAGAAAGGAAAGAAGAAGGAAAGGTACAGATACGAAGGAAGTTTGAAATAGCGTGTCGGACAGGGTATATGTTCGAAATACCTTGTTCTCCATAAGTACTTAATCTAGAGCTCTGTATTCGCTGGTCTAAATGCCGCTGTTTCCTTACTTTTCCTTGGAACGTAGTTGAAGAGAGCATTGGATTCATAGACCTACAGTCCTACTAGCCAATTGTAGACTCATTATACTAGTACTCAAAATAAATTTGTCCGTAAAATCTAATTGATGACTTTCTCTTTATCTCTAAAGCCTCAGGTGGTAAGTTTAGGTAATCGTTCCCCGATGATTCAGAAAGCTGTAGCACCTGATCCAGCATGTCAGATCTACGGTGTATGCAGGTAAGATATTTCCCTGTTCGACACAGTAAGCCTTTCTCTACAATAACGCAGCTATACGACTGAGAGTGCGTACATCTACTAGTAAAGCCCTCGCTTGACAGAAAGATGCAGACTGGGCGGAATAACCAACATCCGTCTTGTTATGATTCCGTCCTATTGGATGTTTGTCTTCCCAACTCAATTGGACCGCATCCTGCCCCGAAGAACGTGGCAGGGATGGAGCGGCTGGTTTTATTGCGTGGGCTCGCTACTGCAGGGCAGAAAATGAATCATTTTACTAGTGCTACTACTGTAGTTTCGCTCGTTACTATACATATTCAATTCATCCGGACGACGCGATGGAAATTTCCACGTGGCAAGTCATTGTGCTTCATGTGCCTCTTCAAAATAGTAGTCACCAGAGAATCGCGACTGTCACACAGCCATGAAGCACTTATTATCTTCAGTGCTGGGGCTCGCCATTGCCACCATGACTTCCGCAACAGCAGCAGCAGAAATGTCGACCGAAATTAGGGCTAGAGACACAAACACAGTCTCAGCTGTGGATACTGAAGGAGCCGTCAGTATTCATCATTTATGAACTTGTATTATTAACTGCTAATTATTACTTGTAGTGCTTGTTACTTTCATTGGAACTTCCAAGCAAAACCTCCTTTCCCGGCAGCACTGCGTACCAGACAGCACTCACCAGCTACTTCTCTGCGCAGGAACAATCTTTGTTACCAGCATGCATGGTAGCACCTACGTCCTCCTTTGAAGTCTCGTTAATTGTTTTGACTTTGGCGCGATTCCACGTGCCTTTTGCAATTCGAGGCGGAGGTCACACGTTGAATGCTGGGGCTGCAAACATTGCTTCTGGAGTTACTATCAACCTCCGGTCTATGAACCAAGTTACAGTCAACGATAAAAAGACTGTGGCTTCGATTGGTGGCGGGGCCAAATGGGGCGAAGTTTATCCTGTCCTTGATGCTCTGAAGATAGCGACATCCGGTGGCCGTGTGTCAAGCGTTGGAGTTGGGGGACTTTCGACTGGAGGTACTCTATTTCTCCCAAATGTTGATTATTCATCACTTGTGCTAACTCAAGTTTAGGTGGCATCTCATACTTTAGCGGACGGCAAGGGTTGGTCTGCGACAACATTGTCAACTACGAAGTAGTGCTTGCCAGTGGTGCTATCGTAAACGTCAATGAACATGAAAACTCGGATCTATGGCTCGCTTTGAAAGGTGGCTCTAGCAACTTTGGAATTGTTACTCGCTTCGACATCAGCACCTTCCCCCAAGATGTATTTTACGGAGGCGTTGTAGCATCTGCTTATTCAACCCTTGGTTCCCAGCTCGCAGGCTTCGCAAATCTCCTTGCCAACTTTGATCCCTATGCGGCGCTCATTATGAGTCTCAGTTGGAGCGCAACACAAGGTTTCTTTTTGTTCAATAATGTCGAGTACACGAAAAATGTTGTGAATCCACCCATCCTCCAACCATTCACACAAGCAAACACTTCAGTCTTGAATACAATGCGTATCTCAAACCTTACCGATTTTGCAAATGAAGCAGCCCAGTTTGGCGCGTCAGGATTACGGTAAGCTTATTCCAGCGAGTATATTAACACAATAACTCATTTTATGTGCAGTAATCAGTTCGCAACCACCACCTTTGGGGGACCTCTTTCCGTGCTCACCACGGTTGAACAACTCTGGAACGATAGCATAGCCACCGTTTCTTCCATCAGTGGCGTTAACTGGGCCATGAGCATCCAACCTTGGCCTCAACCATTCGAAACGCAAGGCTCGGCCAACTCCCTCGGTCTCTCGGCCAGCAATGGTCCGCTTGTCCTGTTTCTACTCTCCTATTCATGGAGTCTCGAGAGCGACGATGCATCCATTACAGCCGCCGCCCAAAAACTTATCGCTGATATCGATGCTGCGACCCAAAAAGCGGGACATTATAGCCCATTCAAATATCTCAATTATGCGGCTTATTGGCAGAATCCCATTGCGAGTTACGGGGCGGCCAGTGTGCAGAATCTGAAGGCTATTTCGCACAAGTATGATCCGTTTGGTGTATTTCAGACTGGAGCTCCAGGGGGCTTTAAGGTCTCGAAAACCTAGAGGGCTTATCAATCATTTAAAAGTTAATCGAAATAATAGTTTAATTTATTTAATTCAATCAAGATGAGTGTATCATTGGTGGGGATGTTCGATTCAACTTTGCTCCTAGACCTAATGCTCGTTCAACAAAGTACTAACATTATCTCTCAAATGAACTAGGAAGTCTTCAAGTCAAAAGAGCGGTGCATTTGTCTATTATATCGTGTCCAAAACCCACTTCAAGATTGCCTCAAAGTGACCTTAAGTAGGAAGTCTTCACTAGGATCCATCGTTTGTAGCGCAGGTTCTTTTGAAATTCCAGGGACTTTCCACCCGCCATCCTTGCCACGCTTTTCAGCAGGCACCATCTCGAACTTCTCCAACACAATAGCCATGAACATAAAAGCTTCTTGCTTAGCTAATACTCGCCCGGGACAATAAGTATGTCCACCACCAAATGGATAAAACCCCTTCGTGGTCGCAAGACGTTTGTTTCTGATCCACCTCTCATGGTCCCACGTTAGCGCATCGGGACCGAAGATCTTGGTAGACATATGCATGAGAACAAAGGGACCGAGGATGGTATCACCCGGACGAATAACTTTATCGCCAATGGTAGTAGGAAGCTCCGCTGCGCGTACAAATGCCGCAGCGTTATAAATACGTAGACATTCGAGCCAGACTGCTGTGAGGATAGGGCGTTTTTCGAGATCTGGCACGGAGATGGCACCATTCGGCAGACGGGGGACTTCGGATATCTCTTGGCGAATTGTTTCTGTGAGAGCGGGGTTGCTGAGGATGTGGCTAAGACACCAGAAAAGCATGCGGAAAGTATTGACATTTACCCTGCGCGAAAAACCACGTCAGTGCTAGTCCAGTATCAAAAGAAAGATAGAAGGCTTAACGTACGCCCAGAGCATAAGTAACCCCAAAGCAGCGGCCTCGCGGTCTTTCACCCCCAGCTTCTGCTGCTCGGATTGCATGCGCTCAAAAAGCCAGCTTAGATGAGGTCTCTGACTAGGCTCAAGAGCATAGTAGTTCGTAAGCGTTGAGACCATGCCTGCCGTCGCTCTCTTCATGTCTCCAGGGAAAGGATGCGGCTGTATAACCTTCCAGCTAGTCTTCTCCCAATCAATGTAGTGCTGCACGATATCCGGGTCCAGACCTAAGATTTCATCTCCCAGGAATGCCCTTGTGCCTGCCGTAACCAAGGAATATCTGCACCACTCATAGAGGCTAACTGTGCTGCTGCTCGAATCTGAAGCCAGGACAAATTTAGGTGAGGTGGGCAATTGCTGAAGAGATCCGTTGAGGTTGCCAAAGAATATCTCTGTTATCCCCTTCATACGATCTCCGGGGCTCAGTTGCTCTCGGGTCCAGTCTTCTTGTAGGTTGACATACCGTTTCTCCAACGGATTTTCCTTCACAAATGCTGGTGCATCTTCCTTTGAACCATGGTACAATTGAGCTGGATTTTTTTGAAACAATGGGTGGTAGGAAGCCTTTGGAACACCAATCCCGCTGTAGGCTGTTTCTATAAAGGAGTCGAATGACAGGGCTTTGCTATTTTTCCACACCGATTGTGCATCTTCCGGTTTGCGAATAATGACTAACCGAAACCCGCCGACCATGATTGCAAAAGGGCCATCGCCTTCGAAATGACGACTTCAAATATGTTAGCCTTCTATAGATTATAAAATTGTTCGAATTTAAGACTTACTCTCCACGACGAAGCGTGCCCACGGGATCCCATATGAATTGGAATGTATGTCCTGTTAAAGAGCATTAGATGGATCGGCTACTCTGAATATATTTTGAAAAACAAACAGGAATCTTTTACCTATCAATGGAAGCGAGTAAGGCAGCATGCTTGGGTCTTTAGGCCACAAAAATGCAGATATCGTGAACCTCCAAATCCTCCAAACAAGCCATAATGATACAAGGCTAACTAGAGCAATGGTACCGTTATTCAGAGCTGAACTTGACACTCCCAACTTGGCTAAATTATCAGCAACGGGCTGCAAATAATCAGAAAACATATTGATTGCCTCTGTCTGATCAACAGGTTGGGAATTCGCATTAATGCTAGAAAGATCATCGCAATAAAAATATAGCGGGCAGCTCGTGGAGTACCAGTGTATGTGGGGGCGGGGGTTTTCACTAGGCCCCTGGTTCGTGATGCTAACATTCTGATTGGTCTGCCCGTGGAAGGATCATCAACGCCTAGAGAAAACGCCCCCAATGGCCGGATGTGCCAGAATACCACCTGTGTTACGAAGAAATGCCGAGAGTTCGGGTTCGGATTTCCAGGTGCTATCCGGCTAATATAGTACTGCAGGTACTGCAACTGGGGTCCTCTGTGAATAAAATCGTGCATGCATTTATTTTCTTCTAATGTCATTACGCCGCATATGCGACGAGTTACTCTATTAGGCAGAGAATCCTTCTTGCTAGGGTGTGGCTGGTATTTCTTAGTTCCAATACCTAGGTATAGGAGCTTGCATGTAAATCCCTTTAACTATATGTATAGCATGTTTAAGTTTTATTATAAATAGCATTCTGCTGTTTTTATCTTAATTAGTAACGTTGCAGATAGTGGACTTAACCTTGCAAGCATTATTATGCATACTTGCATAACTTAGCATAGCATATGCCAGACTTGCATATATTGAACGACGCAGCGGCTAGTAGCTATGTCTTATCGTATCTAGTATACAAGTACCCCACCGGTGATGTTTTTCGGGCATAAGCATGTAAGTAATAGATGTATAGGCGTAGAGTTATCCCAACTGGGCCTATCCCTGAGGGCAATTGGCCGAGCTACTGTACAGCTCGTAAGAGCACCACTGAGAACTACCTCGGCCTTGGCAATAGGTAATCTTTGGTGATACAACTTTTGGGCTGGATGTATCTCCGTAAAGATTGCGGAGTACGCGATACCCATATGCCTGTTCAATCGTGTCAGCAGCAGCGCCAAGGTCGAATCAATGTTGCAAACAAAGTATATCAAAGGTGGTTTTTTGATCTGATTACTCACGGTCCGGCAGATGGTTACGGTACTTTGTAATCCTCTATTTGCGCACATTGGTTCAGTCGATGAATTAGTACCAGCCTTTTCCATCTGATGTTGTAGATCTCAAGCGAGCAGGAAATCTAAATATAGCGCGCTACGGGATTTAAAATCATATACTCGTACCGCCGTAACACCAGATCGTTTGGGGGCTATTTTAGGCGAATCCATTGCGAGGTTCCACAATAGAACGCCAGATAAAAGGTAAGTATACATACTTCGTAGTAACCGCCAAGCATAATGCGCCTAGTAGCTTGTATTTCGTGCAGCAGCAAACTGTGTTTGAGTCTTTCCTAATACATCAAATGCCCCACCACTGCGCATTTTCAGTTGCAGCTGCTGACACTAGCAGTCAGCTTTTGTCTTACAGGAAGTAAGCCCGGTAGTGTTAGTTCTTGGCATATTCTGGTAATTTTTACTGGTGGGTTCGCGGAGAAGCAAGAATGCAACAAAGAATAGCGGGCATGGGCGGAGCGGGGGTGAATATACTTCAAAGCAATGCATCATACCAGAAGTCGAGTCCCTGAGGAAAATGGGCCTCAATGTTGGTTTGTATGCGTCTCGTAGATAAGGGATTCAGCTGCACTGCCACTGGACGAGCTTATGTTTAAAAGGATAGTCTTGTCTCTTTAGGAGTTGCTGATCTACGATAGGAATAATTGTTGCCTCACAAGGTAACACGCTGTCAGACCATCCTTTTTGGTCATACCTCCAACCTTTTAATATTATCACCACCAGTGCACTTGTATCCAAGAATTTTGTCTAGACTGAAAAAAGATCGCAGCTATGATTGCCCGCCATCTTTTAGATCTTCAGCTAGTCAAACTACAACAACTAGTTAAAGTTCAACATGTTCCGCTCGTTGCTGCTGTCTTGTTTTTATATGTCTTTTGCCGCATGCTAGCTACACGGTACCTTCATTTAAGGACTATACCAGGTCCAACATGGGCACCGTTTACAAGACTCTGGATGTTAAGAACTCTGGCTTCCGAGAACTCATCCAAAATATACGTGGGAGTCAACAATCAATATGGTTTGTTTTTTTCTCTGTCAAGAATCGTCTTACTCCCAACCGCTTATACCATGTAGGACCTCTCGCCCGTATTGGTCCTAATCACCTCTTACTTAGCGATCCAGAAGCTATCCGTAAGATGCTAGCAGCTCGTTCATTATACACACGCGGACCGTGGTATGATTCTCTGAGAATTGATCCGCACAGGGCGAACCTAATAACCGAGAGAGATGAGAAGAAACACCGGGTTTTGCGTCAACAAATGGCAGCGGGAGTAAGTCAACGCATGCCAAGAAGTGTTCACGGCTGATCATAATTTCAGTATGCCGGAAATGACGTTGACGAACTCGAGTCGACGATCAATGAAAGGATCGCTGAATGGATCTCATACATCAGTTGCAACGCAGCTTCAGATGCCTCGAAAACAGTCAAGTTTGACATGGCCCGCAGTATGCAGTACCTCACCACGGATGTAATCTCGCACTTATGCTTTGGGAAACCTTTCGGATTCGTCAAGACACATGGCGACGTGTACGGCTTTATAGCGACTCTAGAATCCCGCTTACCCTTTATCGAGAACTTTTCCGTAATTGTTGAACTAAACCGTGTACTCTCTGCTATATGCAGTATTCCATTCTTGAAAAATAGGCTCTTGCCTCAGCCTACGGATGAAGACGGACTTGGCAAAATTGTAGGGGTACGTACTAGAATCCAAGACAAACCACACTCTCTCTTCCAGTTCTGACAACAACCCGATGTGGCAGATCTCTCGTAAGGTTGTGGACGAGCGCTTTGAACCCGATGCCGTTCCTCGGAATGATATCCTCGGATCGTTTCTGAGGAACAAAATCCCACGCGAACAAGCCGAGTCTGAGATTACAATATCCCTGTAAGTTTTCCAGAGCAGGCTTTTGCCTTCATCTTTAGTCTTAGTCTTATAAATATCTCCTCTAGTTTCGCTGGATCTGATACCACCGCCACCTCACTCCGTGGTACCATCCTCCACATCGCCACCAACCCTCAAGTCTACTCTCGTCTCGTGAATGAAATCTCAACCGCTTCCATGACGGGTAAGATATCCAATCCTATGGCAAACGAGGAAGCAGCAAACCTGCCTTTCCTCCAAGCTTGCATCAAAGAAGGACTACGGATCTTCCCTCCCATAACATCTCTGCGAGAACGCGCCGTTCCAGCGGGAGGAGATACCATCCTGGGACACTTCGTTCCCGCTGGCACGAATATCGGCATCAACATGGCGGGCACTCTGCTAAATGAAGTCTTTGGGCATGATGCAGATGTTTTTAGACCAGACCGATGGTTTGAAAAAGATCCTGCGAAATTGAATCGGATGGAAAGAGTTCATGAGTTGGTTTTTGGTCACGGTGGGACGAGCTGTCTCGGGATAAAGATCGCTAATATGACGTTGAATAAGACGCTCGTAGAGGTAAGAAAGATTTCCCCTTCGAGCTTGGACTCGAGTGCTAATAGATACTCGTGGTAGTTGTTCCGAAACTATGATATTGCTGTTATTAATCCAACAAATCCTTGGAAGAGCCGATGTCATGGTATATTCTTCCAGCAAGATTTCTGGTTGCGAATTACGTCAAGGGGTGATCAAGTCTCTGTTTAAGTAAATTAGAAATTCAATCAATCTACATATTACTAAAAGAAAAGAGAATAAAGACTTTCTGATCTAATCTCTCAGCTTGTATCCGTGAAGTTATACTAGCAAAAGACCCTCGTCACCGAGCTATCAGGACTTGTTTTATATAATAAGACTCTTCATACAATTATCTTAGTTGAAATATAATAACAAACATTTTGCGCCCGGTTGTGTGCCCTGTCTCCTTGTCTAGCCGCAGTGCTGCCGCCCTAGTAGTGCGTGACGCGGCAGCGTTTCTAAATGAAGCGAATCTTTAACAACCTGATTTGATAGAAATACATTTTATCAAAAGATGTATAATCAGTTGTATGAGATTTTGGAGAATCATGCTTGTGATCGTTCACTTTTTGCGCTGGTGCTGATGCAGTGATCGGGGTGGATGGTTGGCTTTGCAGAAACAAGGGGCAAGGGCTAATTAAGCGAACCCCTTTCCACATCGATTCTGCATATATGTATTAAACTCTAAATGATAAGTGCCGCTACTTATTTTTACGACGAGTGAGAGGATTTGTTTATCTGATATTCGATGCAAAATCTGCATTATACGTTCTGGAATAGTTTATTTGTTCCGAATCCAGATGTTAAATGTCGGTTGAAATCAGATATTGTTTTCGTGGCGCACAAGGCGTTTAGGCCGCTGTGTTGCATAGTACTGGGTAATTCATGATCACGGTCTTTTTATATATATGACTTGGTTAGCTGGCTTGGAGAAAGTGTTAGGTAGCTATGGTGTTGATGAGAGCAGATACGTTTAAAATCCAAGCCCACGCCATGTTTCTCGACACATCCTATAATTCCCTCAGCATCGTCTAAGTACAGGAGGAAGGAGGACAAGCTATAAAACACCCCCGCTACCAAAAGAAAAAAAAAAACATACAACAGCAGGTGTTTGCTGGTGGTTACCACCTGGGAACAATCTTGATATCTCGTTGGCTGATAGGAATGCCTACAGAAGCAGAAATCGAACGATGAAACTCCCAAAACAATACGCGCTCGTCGTTAGTGACATTGGAAGTTTCTCCGTCAACTCGTTTGTCTTTCGGAGGGGCTGGCTTGCCGTAGGCACGCACCAGAGCATACGCCGCCAAAAGATGAGCATCGACTAGGTTTCCAACATATATAAAGTCATACTGGTTTTTTCCAGGGCCAATCTGGAACCTAGCTTTTCCTCCTCGACAAGTTGAGACGATTTTCCCCATACAAATCGAGTCACGTTCACCGAATGCCGTAGCAGGTCGCATTGACACCGTTAGCATGGAAGAGTCGCCATGTTTACGGTTGGCTGCAAGGATTTCGGCTTCTGCTTCCGCTTTCGTGAGAGTGTAAACTCTTTTTTGGGCCGGGTACTGAAGCACGGGAAGGGTCTCGTCGGCATCGATAAGGTCAGAAACGTTGTCGTGAATGACCGAGGATATGGAAGTATTGACAAAAGCGTGAACAGTACCAACTTTCTCAGCTGCCTTGATCAAATTCCGGGCACCAATGACGTTCACCTTGTGGAAGATTGACACTTCTAGGGTGACCATTGAGTCAGGGCAGGCTACATGGAAGATGGTGCGTGGTCGAGCGGCACGCATTGCAGATTCCACTTCCAACAGATTTGCGATATCAATGGTGTGGTATGTGACACGCGGGTTGTTGAGACGATTGCGAGTCGTGTTGATGTCGATGACATGGACTTGGGAAGTGGGCTCGGAAGCCAGGATCTTATCAACAAGATGGGAGCTATACTGAAGTTAGCATGTGTTTCCACCTGTCATTTGGGGAGCCTAGGAGCAAAGCTCGTGAACCACATCTTCACAGCCGTCTCAAAAACTCACCCGGCCCCTTGATAGTTTTGGGATGGAAGCATACGAACCCGATGAATCCACAGCCACCAGTGACAAGAACAGACCCTAAAGGAACGGCTCCAACTTCTGCAGACCCCGACATATTGGTGGTAGCGTCTGAAATGAGCTGGGGATGAGGAAATTCACAATACTGCTGGAGTTGCGGGACATGGGAAGCTTGAAAGAAGGGTGGCTGTCGATGAGAGATGCTGAAGGACATGCAAACAAACGGGTCAGATGGGGCCAACTGTTGGCAACAAGAATCGATTGGCCAAAAGACGTGGCCCATGCAACTGAAATTATATCCAATCGACACCTGTAATCTTCACCCCTGCCATGAGCCCCGTAATTCCTCACCAACACGGACAGGACAGGCTTGATCCTCCAGATGCACGGTCCGGTCCGTCTCAGCCCTACCCGTAAGGCTGCTTAGGGCGGCGGCCGCGCGAGCCACGCTAACAATCATACAGTAGCGGGATCAATGACTTCCTCGCATGATTTCCTTTGAATTGTTATCCCAAGACAGCTTATCATTCACTTTACCTTGAACTACCAAAACAAAAGCGCACTGGCACGTCGTGGCTCGCTGGCACACTCGAAACTGAAATGAGAGCTCGAGGCATTGCAACTCAAGATATGGCGGCTTGGCTATTCATGGTCCTTTGGGCGTATGCGTAATCTATTTCATTTAGCACACACATGCCTTCAAACCCTTATCATGGGCCTTCTAACAATTTGTAGATTCAACACTTATTGGTCTGCATCTATACAACGAAGTAGAGCAACTATCCGGCCATGCAAGAACTTCAATGTGTGCCGGGCTTGAAAGCTGCCGCAATACTAATTTGCCCTGTTTTAAGAACAGCACCTGTATCTATGTCCCTTGCTTCATATCTCAAGTTTCTGTCTTCCGCAATAGGAAACAGATCAAACTCGACCTTGTAATGGGGCTGTCCACAAACAACACCATCCTCATCGGCCTCCGGATATGTAGGTTGGAGGCCATTTTCGGTCTTGAGATGTGTCATGTCGATGATCATTTTGCCAGACACTTGAGCATCTAAAAGATCCGTTGTTAGAAAGTACATCAGAGACAGCCATGACGCTTAGGAAAAATGAGAGGAAATGGGGGGTTCACATCTGTTCTTAGGATGGCCAACAGTGTAATGAGACTCTGTAGCAAAGTCCGAAACATACACAACCTCTTCACACAAAAACCTTTTTGCATTGATTTTAAAAGCATGGACCGATCTGCACGGCTCGAAAGTGTTCTTGCGCAATATCGGTGTGTCCTATATAGAATCAGAACGGGAGAGCCATGGTTCGTGCTAAGATGTGTATCTCACCTTGACCATAAAGTAGTTGATTACTTTAACACACCATTGGCCGTCAAACTTATCGAGGAACGGTTCGGCAGCTTCGTGGCCGCGCCATTCGTCGGGATCATATTCTTCGATTCGGAGAAACCCAAAGCTCGAATGGGCCAATCTCTCTTCACCACGGCTGGTGCTCAAATCCAGGTGATTGAGAACGCTGCCACACGCGACAGTAGTTGAACTGCTTAGTATTAGCACGGATGTGATACAAGAAAGATTAAGCAACCTATCATGGTGGCCGATGGGCTCGACGAGAGTTATCTCGTAGTCTAACCGGGCTTCTTTGGTGAAATTGAGAAGGAAGCTTCTAAGGTAGCTTATCAAAGAGGGACAACCCCCAAAACCACCAACGAGAAAGACTTTCTATGTCGAGAGTTAGCACCCTAATTACTTAATAGATTAGAGTGCTTGAATCATACCTTTGGCTCTTTGCCTGCACGAATAGCGAGTTCGAGCTGTGGTCTCAGAACACAAGCAACTCGTCGAAGAATTGGAAAAAACACAGCCTCGAAATCGTCACTGCAGGTAGACATTATCGTAAGTCATGAAATCTTTAGTGGATAGAAGATTCTTACCAGTTGAAAAGCAACACGTTATTCTCGAAGCGCTTGGCAGCTCTGCCTACCAATCCCCTTTCTTTATCCCCTTTTAGACCGGGAACCGGAATTCGCAGTGTTGGTCTGTCCGCAACATTCTTGCGCCTCTTATGGACCCTTTCAAAAGCTGGGATCAAGTTGCTGACGATGGACAATCTGGTGTGGCCACTGCAGTCGAGATAATGCTCGTCTTTCAGACGTACCAATAGTCGTTCAGCATAAAGATCATTCAAATAACTACTCCCGCAGTTATCCCCTGAGTATGTCAGCCTTGAGTGTATACCATACGTAGCACGATTATCTCTCACCAGTTGGTTTGTCCAATCTGTCTCCGGAGCCTTAACGGAGTCGAGTTGTCAAGCTCATGAGTAGACCCATCAACAGTTCCACCGCCACAATCGAGAACAATGATGGTATCGCCAGCCTATAGTAATAAGTATCTTAATTACTATTAGAATTGAAGAAGCATAACTCACCAGAAGATTGTTAGCAGTAGCAAGGAGATACGTTGCCGCTGCCTCGGGTTCCGTTGTGATGTACAGGTTATCGATTTGGCCATGCCTAAGGTCACCAAATCCAGAATGCCGTATAGCATCCTCCATAGCATATTGAAAGACTCGTGATGAATGAGTTGACCAAATAACAGGAACTGTTATGACAAAAGAAACAGGACATTGCTCGGTCAAGCCAGCGAATTGTGTCAATTGTTGCCCAGTATGTGCGAGCACCGGGGTCAAGAAGTCCGAGATAACGTCTTGAATGTCTCTTGGAATTGGAACATCCATTTTCCCGTATTTACGGATGACTTTGAGCTCTAGCAGATGATTCAAGGAGGCGCGAAGAACATCTCGGTCACCTTGGGTATATTTAGATCTCACCAACATTGACTTGCATCTTTCGATGCGAGTATGTGCATCCCGGTTGGTGACTTCAAGGTATCTCTCATTGAAAACATCATAGCCCCATATATACTCCGTGGATTCTGCACAATTGCAACCTCCTAGCTTATATGTACCAGACTCTCGATCCAGAGTCTCTGGGTGTGGCATACATGGAGCTTCGGGCCTGGAAGCGTCTGAAATCATGTCTTCTTCATCAGAGCTGCTGTCAGATGACTCGGAATCTATGTTGTCGAGGCCAAGCTGATCCTGTAATGGGGTCCGAATTCTTGGGATGGAAGAATACCAGCTTTCGGTTGGAACTTGCTTCCGGAGCCCATACATGTCATCTCCTGGCCAGTCCATGATACTCTGCACTTCTCCAGGGAGCGCCATAGGGGCAAGGTCTTCCACGGGATGTGAGTAATATGAAACGGCCGTGGTTGTTGTTCCGAAATCCAGTCCAACTATAAACTTTCTCGGAAAGTCCAAAGTATTTGACGCCCTCGATCCCACAGCTGCTGTGTCTTTGTTTGGGGCAACTTGTAACGATGGTCGTCTTGCAGTATTCTTCGAACTATTAGATGCTCGCACGGAATTGCTCGCCGGGCGGGAAGTGTTCATCTTCGTGATTCGTGAATCTAGTGCAACAACAGCGTGGTCCTTTTTCTGGGCGTGATTTTTTCGAGCATTAAGATCAGATCGATGTGGCGGTTTTGATTGTTGGGTTGACAATACTTCAGGGAGTTGTCTCTGAGCTGAGGGCGTTTGCGCAAATTCGACGTGGTCAAGGCTCTGATCTCGGCGACTATTTTGGCCTGGATAATGAGTTTGAGGGTTTGCAACAACTCTCAGATCACTTTTTGAGATGCCGTCTGTTGTTCTTTGACGTTCTGGAGACGGCTGTAAATTGGAGATACCATCTTGACTCGCTAGTCTGGCGGAGGATTCATGCGGGTTGCCTGTCGGAGTGGAGGCAGAGACAGATCCATCATCGATTTTGTTTCCAGCTCGAACACTTTCTATGAAGCTTTTATTCTTGAGCAAATCTTGAAGCACTTGAAACTGGGCGGGATCTAAGAAATCCATTTTTGCAAATGTGGCTGATACACAAATTCAAAGCGAAAAATAAAGCTTATTGGGTTTTGATGTGAAAAGAATATCAGATCCAATGTCGAGTTGATTTGAGTTTCATACTGGCGCCTGCGACATATTTGTCTAAATACGGAGTACATCTTTCCGAGGCATCTATGAGAATCCCAGGCAATAGATAAGCCCTTATTGATGCAGCGTAATCCAAAACGCGGGCTTGTGCCATTCAAAGCAAACGTTCGACCCGTTTACCCGGCAGATAGGAAATTGACTCATGCAATGGCTTGCAGGCAACAGCATAGCAAATATGTGCGTCAAAGCGTACGTGAATATGCGGGTGAGCCTCATAGTGGCTCTCGGATATACCGTCGTGAATAAGGATCAAGAATTCTTAAAAGCAGAATCAATCGTAGCGATCAACATCTTCCCTATCTGCGGACAAAGATCTTTTTTATAGCTCGTTGAATGATTCTTCGATGATAAAGTGTATCAAACTATCAACTACAACTTTGCACGATTTGCGAGAAAATGCCCCCAACAAACATGTTTCTTTTTTTCAACACCTTGTTGTTCAAGCGCGGGGAAACTGAGGGATGCATCCCATTCGCGAAAATCCGCTGTCCTTGCCGTTACATGTTTCAGCCACACCTCCGTACAACCATGAAGAATCCCAGTAAGCAAACAAGAAAACAAAATTCAGCGATAACAACCATTTCCGTCTAATCGGGGGTCTTCCGCCTGGTTTTCGGGGTCTATGAGCTCCCCCAATGCCTTTCATTGTCACACAATTTTCTCCATTTGTTTGGCCAGCAGTTTTCGTCCCACTCCCGATTAAAGCTACGAGAGTATAAGTTTTAAATTGTAGACCGCTTTCCCTCCAGCAAAAAGCTATGCCGACGGAAAGACTCTGGGAAGACGAAGATAAGGTTAATCTGTTTGCGTGGCTCGACTTTTGTGTCCAAAACCGCTTGGATTTCATAGGCACCATCAATCAGCAATTGACCAACTGGAGAGCTGCTCGATCTGGCAGCACCGTTTCATTTACTTTAAAGCAAGTGGAATACAAGATTACCAACGAATCACGAAAATTTGCAGGATCCAAGCAGCCTCCTGGTTTTCGCCACATTCTAGCAAAGGGATCATCGTCTATTATTGGAATACCTGACAACCTCCGTCAAGAAATCGCGAAAAAAGTTTCGCAGTACACATTAAAAAACTCACATATGTTAAGCAAAAAGCACCCAAGTGACTCGACAATGGAGTGTCATCATACGCCTCAGCTAGGCCGAGCAAAAATGCATGGCAGAGAAGATCAAGAGCAGAATGAAACTCAGATAGCAATGGTAAGTATGATTTATTTAAATAGTTACCAGGACCTCAGCTGACACATTTTGAGGATAGGCCGCTCGACCTAATCATCAAACCAAAAGTCCACGACCTCGGACCTCCAAAAATCAAGAAATACAAGGAATCCGGGCCGAGTGGAGGCAAGAGGTAGAAGCCTGTAACGAGCGAGAACAAAAACTGAGCTGGGAGATCAGAGAATTGCGAGCCACCAATAGAAACCTGTTGCTGGCTCAACAAGAACGCGCAGCAGCAGGGCCTGATCCTCTAGAGGCTACCCTATTTGATAAAAGCCAAGAAATCTGGCAACTACGCCAGCGGGTGAAAAGAACGTCAGAGCTGGAACAGTTTATTGAAAAGGATGAATCTCGCCAAGGATTACTTGATCCAAACGTTCTAGATGACGAGATGGCTCAGATTAGATCAGAGCTAGAATGCATCGCACCATCTAACAATAATAATATGGTAACCCCCAACTTCAGCGCCAACTCTGATCTTGGTTCTCTAGTCGAGACCATATCAAATGATAGCGTCGAGAAAGATGACGTCGTCGGCTGGCTGTGGAGTGCAATGCTTAAGTTCAATGCCGAAACGATTCTTAGGGCTTTTGTGGTTGGCGCTCTTCACCAATGGGTGTTTGCGACCAGATTTCCCGACTTTGCGCCATCAGATACACGCGTGCTAGGGGTGTATCGTGAAATCGTAAGTCGGCATGGTAAGTCTCCCAACAAACTCAACATGCTAAGATGTATCAAGGCTGATAACTGCAGCGGGTTGGAAGAGATTACACAACCTTGAGTTAGCAGCACACTCGGTATTGACTAACGATAGACCGTATTTTAAAGAGGTCGTCATACCAAGAAAAGCTGCCGAGCTGGCAGCCCGATTCTCAAGAGCGCTAGAGCCCCTCTTCGCAAACACAGTATCCGAACCGACGACATTCGCATCTTGGGGCGAGGACCACGAGGCATGTGAAGACAGACGATTTCGTCTTGAGGGGGTTTTCAAAGCAGCACTTCGACTTAAAGCGGCAACGGTATCAACAAACTGTCGATTTGAATTCGTGATTTATCCGCTGGGCACTCCCCACGTGCAAGAGCAACGAGAAACTTCCCAAGGTGATTTCAGTGGCCGCAGAGGACTCGATGATTATGTGCAGAATGAAACCTGGCGATACGCGTCATTGCACGTTTATGCGGCTGTTGCCTCTGTGCCCCGAGACGACTTCGCAGACGCGTTAGTGAGCTCCAAGAACTTCATTACCAAGAGCCCGGACGAACGAGCCAAACTTTCAAAATACAACACGTTTGTGATAGCGACAAAGAGCGAGGAAGCTAGAGCTCCTAGGAACGGCAATCATCTTAGGCATGCACCAGTGAGAATGTTCCCCCACAGTCCAGGTTTCTCCAGACCAATCTTGGCGAACTCTATGACTATTATGACTCCAAGGCCAATAAGGAACAAGGAACCAAACAATATAGTCAACCACCTGCAAGTGAGACAAGCTCATTCACCAACGGTGAGTCCCATCACGCCACAACCCACAACGACCTTTTCAGCGCCTACAGCGAAGAAGCATGTCAGTGATTCTGGCACTAGCCTCCATACTATGGAGCGCTCGTCCCAGGGCAGCAAGCCCGAACAAGATAAACGTCCAGCATGTGATATTTGCAACGCACAGTTTAGTACCATTTCTAGCCGCAATCGACATCAGAGAGATAGTAAGTTCCAAGAAGCTTTAGCTAGGAATATTAAGCTAATCTTGATTCTTTATCAAGAGCACTTGAAACTAGAGCACAGACCTCCAGTTAAAAAGAGAGCAGAGATCCCAGAGTCTGAATCAGACTATAGTGGCCAGGAAGATTCAGAAACGAATCGTCTTGAGTGTAAAGTTTGCAGCAAGCGATTCGAAAATAAACGTGCAGTCGCTACACACACGCGTATGGTCCATCGTGGACTTGGCTTCCTAGAGACACACGGGCGAAGCATAGACTCGTCCGAAGAAGGTGGACGACCCGACCAGGACGAGCAAATTACCCACTCTGACCCCACGGAATCAAATGGCTCTGTGTCAACTTTAGGGTCGTCGACCTCTTTTGAGGTAGAGCATGGGGTCCAAAAACCTAGAAGAGTTTCCCTCCGGCAAGCTCGTTCAATGGACTATAAAGAATCCGAGGATCTAGTTTCGGATCCAGCTGATATGGTCGATTCAATCCCATATCGCACGAAGTCGGCTAAGAAGCCTCGTGCACCATCGGGCTCCAAACAAGCAACTCAGCAAAAGCGGGATATAGGGGACAGGAGTGACCCTCAAACGAATATTTGTGTACACTGCTCGCGCACATTCACAACCCTACAAGGGCTTTCTCATCACATGACCGAAAGCCATTTAAATCGTACCGTGGACAAGCAAAAGCGCAAAGCCGGTAAACGGAACATCACTACAGGACAAGATGGAGGCTCTAAGAAACGCAGGAAAGAAGTCCATGTGTCGTCCAAGAAGGGAACCGATCCAGGTGCCAGAGAGACTGGCAAAGTAGCCATAAGGAACGCCACTAGTCTCCAGCCATGTAATAGCAATGGCCAACTGATGGGCGAAAACGCAGAGATGCACGACCTGTCAAGCGAAGAGGTTCAACTGCTTGCCACGGTACACGCGGGCTCGATGCAAGAGCAACCAACGGCCGGTCGGCAACGAGAGCTAGACCGGCCAGTATTAGCACCACCCAGAGGCTTCGGAGCAATGGCTCGTTCCTTTATGAGCCGCCACAATCGCAGTAATTCTCTGCCGGAGAAGGAAAATGGTGTAGATTGAAGTCTGCAGGAGGTTGAAGCAAAGCACGGTACGGCGGAAACTCTCGGCCCGCGTTCTGAGCTTAGTCACCACTGCCGGACCTCGGCCTCGGCTCGGCTCGAACCCAACATCAACATCAACCTCAAATCCTATGCCGTGTCTCTTATAATATCACTCTGCGTCTCATTTCCGAAATCATTCACGGTCCGCATAGTCAAGTATACTTCTTACTCTAGTTATGCACATTCTCCGTCAGATATTCCTATCCCAGGCCTTTTCCCGACCCCCGAGAGTCAGATCCGTTTATCACCTGATTAATCTGCCCATTCCTCGAACGACTATGCTAAAAGAGCAGCAAAAGTTATGTATATCTGGAGAGCATTTACCCAACTGGGAAGGATAATAGGACATAAAGGACAATCTCCCCGCAACCTCGAGAAACATGAACCAACCCCGTCTTTTTAAAATCCTATCATTTTCCATCTTTCTCGCTATTACGTCTATGCTCTACAAACATTTCATGTCCACCATGTCCAAAGTACCGACCCAGACATCCACCACCAAGCATGCTATCGTTATAGGTTCGGGTCTCGCTGGGCTCTCAGCAGCCTCACAACTCATAGCCCACAAAACGCCAGTCTATCTCCTCGAGCGATTTGCCAAGCCGGGCGGAAACTCCATGAAAGCCTCATCCGGCATCAACGGCGCGCCCACCAAATACCAACCTGGTCCTCCGCTCTCAGATACCAGTTTCTACGAGGACACGGTGAAGTCTGCGGGCGCGGCACTGTCCACGGCTACGAAGCAGAGAGAAACCTTGATCTCGACACTGACGAATTCGTCAAGTGATGCGGTTTCGTGGCTGGTTGATGAGAAGGGTGTTGATCTTACCGTCGTTGCACAATTAGGCGGTCACAGTTTCCCGCGCACGCATCGGGGCGCGGGACAAACGCCTCCTGGTGCTTCGATTGTAACGACGCTTTTGAAGAACCTCAACGAGAATCCGCTGTTCCATCTTGAGACTTCGTGTGTCGTGACTGATGTGCTGAAGACTGGAGATGAAGTCACGGGCGTGAAGTATACATGTGGGGAAGAGACAAAGGTCCTGAATGGTCCAGTTATCTTCGCTAGTGGTGGATTTGGTGGCGATGCAGAGGGCATGTTAAGTACGTACCGGCCCGACCTCGCCGGCTTCCCATCAACCAACGATCCACGTCCCGGATCTCAGGGCCTACTCACCCATGTTGGAGCACAGCTTCTCGACATGGACTTAGTACAAGTTCACCCCACCAGTTTTGTAGATCCGAAGAATGTGTTGAGTCCAGCGAAGTTCCTTGCTGCTGAGATGCTGCGGGGCGAAGGTGGATTGATGTTGCGGGATGGGAAGAGATTTGTCAATGAGATGTTGACGAGGAAAGTTGTTACGGCTGCTGTTACTAGCGTCCCGGCGACAGATAACCTACCGAAGCAATGGGATGTCTTGCTTGTGCTTGACGAAGGTGTATATGAGCGTACAGCTTCTCATGTCGGTTTCTATCTCTGGAAGGGATTGATGCGTAAGACAACGGTTGCGGACCTCGGCGACGGTGCTGTTGCAGGAATCCAGGCTTATGCGAATATTGTTGCTGGAGCCAGTGTGGACCCGCTAGGTAGAAATGCTTTCGGTCACTGGAAGCTGCGGGATGTCTCTCCAGACTCGGTTGTGTACGTAGGCAGGGTGACACCGGCTGTGCATTTCACGATGGGTGGGGTAGTGATTAGTCCTCAAAGTGAGGTGTTGGATAAAGCAGGTAATCCGATCAAGGGCCTTTGGGCTGCTGGAGAGGTGACCGGTGGGATTCACGGAGATAATCGTCTCGGTGGCTCGTCGCTATTGGAATGCGTGGTTTTTGGAAGGAAAGCGGGAGACCAAGCCGCAAAGTACTTTGCTGAACATGCCACTTAATTTTATTTGGAACATTGCCATCAACAAATTCGTTGTGTTGTGTGAGGTCACTTTCTTCAACGGTAGTCACCCTCACGAACTACTTTCGCCTCAATCTTCGCTCCTCTTTCCCGCAATCATGGCAAGGTCCTTGCTCTTTTCCAGACCCGAGGCCCTTCTGTGAAAGTATGTGTCTATATGTTCGTTCACAAAGTCGTGGCCGTCAGAGAACCCCCTTGAGCAGAAGCAGCAATGGTATTCATCTTCTTCAGCATCCTGAAATGAGTGTGCTGGTTTTCTCTTCGTCCTAATCGAGCCTTTTCTAGCTCGCGGCGTTCGTGGCGGTAGTGACATAAACTTGCTTAGCTCCTGGACCACACTTTCCATTTAGAATGCCCTAGTTGTTGATTTGAAAACCTTTGGCTTCGGATGAGAACGGGTCTGTTTGGATACTTTGCCTTGGAGGATCTTGCGGTAATATAAAGATTCTAGGTCTATCTACCAATTATATCTAGTATCTGTCCGCGCAAACAGTCCAGATAGACTAAACCCCTTAGTATAGATCCTGCAATCTAATACTGAAATAGTATATCATCTCTTCTACTATTATTATCTATTCAACGTGCACATCAGCAGCATAGAGCCCCAGAGATATCCACTTGCCGTAAGGATTAAGAAGGGTTTTGCCCTAATACCCCCTCTCCAACTCCCTTCTAGCCTTCGATGCATCTACCTGCCTTTTTGATATTGATGGTAGGACAACCTCCTTTGGTCCTTTCTCAATTCTCTATCATCATTCCCTCTTCCATGCCTCAAATTCCACCTTCAAATGCGCCTTTAACTCCTTAAACTTCTTCCCGAAATTCTCCCCACACCTCCAACACTTCATATCCCCACCAATCGTATTCGACCTTTTCCTTACCTCTTCCCTGCCCAGCGGGAACTCCTCCAACGGCACAAAGAACCCCGTCGCAAAACTGTTATAATGCTTCCGATGTTTCAAGCACTCCGAATACCGATCAACGCTCAGGACATGTACGTGTAAATGATTCATACTAGGCCCAGCATGAACACCCACCATGACCTCTTTTTCCCAATCCCTTCCTTGTGGTAACTCTACATCCACATCCACATCCCCATCCGCTTCAACATCCCCATTCAAAACTCTCTCTCTCTTCTCATCCGCCTTCGACCCAGGTCCATACACCCGCCTCAACTCCCTCGCAACCAACACCTTCAGCTTCGCAGCCTCAGCTTTCACACCCGCGAGGAACTCCGCATCGTCAAACGCGTCGCAGGGGTGCATAAGCATGTGTGTTTCTGAGCGCGGGAGCAGCAGTGTGTGGACGCTGGATTTCGGGTACAGGTCGTGGATGGCGACGAAGGATGGCGTGTGGTAGATTACGCGCGTGGAGGGGTAGGAGGAGGGGTGTGTGATGTAGGCGAGCAGACCGTCGCGGGAGGGAGGGGCGCGTTTAGGGGGTTGCGATTGCGAAGTGGGGGATGTGGTGGAGGGGCGTTTGCGGGACATGAGGGTTGTGACTATGGGAAGGGAGGGATAAGTATGTATGGATAGTTTTGGGGGAAGGGAGAGTAGGGCAGGGGACGTACAGGCATTGGGGGCGCGAGGCTGAGGATGAAGACGAGGCTGTAGGTGTGGTGCTAGGAATTCCTTCTGCCATGTTGGCCTGTTCGGGTTTTGAGGGTGGCATTTTTGGAGTGACAGATGGTTCAAGGCGATTTCTGGTGGTTTTGTATGGTTTATAGGTAGATTTGTGCGCTGTTGAATTGTTATGCTTAGTGTTTGTTATTTGGCAGTGACGACTCTACATTGACGAGGCTTTCCAGCCGCGTTTACGGTAGAGCAAACGTGTTGCTGTAGTAACTGACTTCAGTATCTTGTAAATATACTTGGTTTCTCGCTCCTTATTCCTCTCTTTTGATCTTTATTTGTACTTTCTAATGCGACGCGTATTATTATCTCGATTTAGCCGTGGAGTATCTTTCATTAACACAATGTATAAAATTTCTAACTAATTTGTAAACACATCGATTAGCTTACCACATATCTTTACGGATTTTGCTCCGACTTTTCGGTGGTAAAACGATTTAAATGCCTTTTGCGAAGGTTATAGTACTTGTATTTCTCATAATTAGCTGTTTAGTCTACTTTTCCGCTGAAAATCCCCAAGTTTTCGACCACCTGGCATTAACACTCTCTTGCAGCTTCTCGGGGTACGAGTGCTTGAAACTAGCTTGCTGCCAATCCTGCTCACCCTTATATTCGCTCGGCATCAGCGCGTCACTCACGACCTTCCCACCCTTCACCGGGCTTCCAGTACCATGACTCATATATGGAATCAACGGAAAACCTCTGCACTCCTCAAAGAACGTCTCGTCCTTATTCGGTCGGCATCGAGTGCTGAAGGCAAACATGATGTCTTTCCACTCATACACATCAATATCATTTCCAACAAGTACGAGCCGATGGATCGTATATCCCGCTTTATGGGCAAATACCAAGTCCCCCACCTTTTTGCGGAAATCCTCGGGCGTGATGTTCATAGTCTTGAGCTTCTGGATGTCCACTTTGAGCGCAACCCACGTTACCTGCGTCTCGAACGGCGCGAAAGCATCTGTGATTGGAAGTCCGGCGTCTTGGCACACTCGACGGATTTCTGCGGCGGCAAGGGAGCCGATCAAGGTATGTGTCTCGTCGGTGATGCGCCCACAGTTCGAGACTGGCATGATAGCTCCGTTCCGGTAGGTGATGGCATTCACCTTGTACTTCGGCCACGGGTGAGTATCTCCAGGGAAAACGTATCCGTGCATTTCGCCAAATGGCCCTTCAGGCCCGGTCTCGGTAATGGAAAGCGTGCCCTCAAACACGATCTCGGCGTTAGCAGGTACGTAGAGATCGTTCGTCTCACATTTCACGACATCCAGCGCGTTGCCGGTCATGGCACCAATGTAGCCTGCTTCGGTGACACCGTCGGGAATGGGCATGGAAGAGGCCATGATTGCAGCAGGTGGGACGCCGAAAGCAAGTGCCCACGGTACGTCTTTCCCCTCTTTCTTCCACATTTGATGAATCTGCCATATGTGTTGCGGTTCGATAACTAGACCAGTGAGATGGTTTTTGTCATGCACCATGGCCCGAGCTATGGACCAATTAGTCCATGACTTGTCTGGTGATTGCACAATGTGCATGCCGTATGTCTGGACGTACTTTCCACCGTCTGCTTGGTGGAGCCATGGCGCGGGAAGAGAATCGAGGTCGAAATCATCACCGAAGAGCTTGTTCTCCTTGACTGGTCCGTCCTCCACAACGTTTGGAGGGATGGGCTCGACGTGAGCGGCAGATAACATTTTATCGAGGATATCCTTCATAGACGCCGTGGGCGGGAGTGCGAGATGGCGAGCAATGCGGCCATATTTTTCTTCGGGATTGCGGCGTAGGGAGGCTGGAGCTCCAAGAAGACGCCAGAGTCCATCTTTCGCGCCCTTCATGTTATTGAAGAGCGGAGCTTTGTCGTTGGTTTCGCAAACTTTGCGAATGATAGCCCCCGCCTCGAGATGAGGGTCGATCTCTTCATTGAGTTCAATCAAGTCGCCATCCTCTTTGAGTGCTTCGACAAAGGAACGGAAATTCATATGAGGCAAGTCCTGATTGGACTTGGAAAGGTGGTAGCTTTTGTCTGTTGACATAATGGAGATTGACGTTGTGTTATTGATTGACGTTTTTTTTGGATGGCGAAAGATTGATGTAGATGTAGTGGGTATTTATGATATTGCTAATAAGCCATCAAACAAGCGCTGGATTATTCTTATATAGTTTGTTTCGGACAAGAGTTAATCTGTCTACTATATACGAATTTCGGGGCAAGAGAGCTCTCGGATTTGTTCGGATTTGTTCGGTGACCCTCGGAGGACCCACCAAAATACTAAAAACATCCGGGAACGCGCCCGGGAACGCCACGACAGCAAAATTCAGGGTTGCATGAGGCTTTCTTTCGACGGACTTGAATTAGAGAGGGTCCTGGAGGCTCCACGATGGAGTTCGGCAAGGGCGGGTCAGGTGTGACGAGTCCGGTGCCAGACTAGACGAACAAGTGATGAGGTTCGGAGGTATTTCGCAGCAGCGCTCAAATTGTGATTGTCATCAAGAAGTAAAAGAACATATATATATCCATATATATGAACTTGACGGCCCCTGAATCCCATTCTCAGCAAGACGTTTCTGTTCCCCGCATTGCCATATATCCAAGCACATCCGAGCATCTTTCAGAGTGACACCTAATCTTCGGAAAAGTCAACCAAGGATCGCAATTGAAATCAAATATTCAAAGAATCGAACACCACTTTTCACCATGCCAGAATTATCCTCCACAAATGGCATCCACCCCCGGCGAAAACGTATCGTGATTGGTATGACAGGTGCGACAGGCGCCTGTCTCGGTATTAGGCTCCTCACCGTCCTCCGCCGACTGAATGTCGAAACGCATCTCATTCTCAGTCACTGGGCCGAAGAAACAATCCGGTACGAAACAGATTACACGCCCGCCAATGTGCGTGCACTCGCTGATCACGTGTATTCGAATCACGACCAATCAGCTCCTATTTCCTCCGGGTCGTTTCGTGCGGACGGTATGATCATCCTGCCTTGCAGTATGAAGACTCTGGCTGCAGTACATGCCGGATATTGCGATGACCTGATCTCGAGGGCCGCGGATGTGATGTTGAAGGAGCGGAGAAGGCTTGTCTTGGCGGTCAGAGAGACTCCACTGAGCGAAATACATCTGAGGAATATGCTGGAAGTTACAAGAGCAGGCGCCATCATTTGTCCATCGATGCCAGCGTTCTATACGAAACCGGGTTCGATTGATGATTTGGTGGATCAGATGGTGGGACGGTTGCTTGACCTGTTCGATTTGGATACCGGGGATTTCCAACGATGGAACGGGTTTGAAAAGCATTGAATGATAAGCAGGAATTGGTCTGGAGGCGTTATAGGAGCTTTTTTTCGAAAGGCGTATGGGTATTGAGCATCTCGTTGATGCTTGCGATTAGGTGCGACTTGATAGAATATAAGAGGTTTTCTAAAACATCCCGTGACTCACTCGTATCGCAAGTTTAGAAAATCCAAGGCTCAGATGTGGAAAGGTCGTACTGGGGTGCTGATTCTTCGCTCACTGGATCTGTATTTCTTATCAATAAACACTCATTAAAATTGAAGGAGCAGCTAGCTACCCCATATAATAGAGTTAAACATGTCAAGTGGAGACATGTCTTCTATGCTGGCATCAACTGACGCATTCAGCTGGGACATATCCGTAATGTTCGAGAAGTTTGCATTTCCGCTGTTATCACTTATATGGTCAGCTTAACGTTGGTTCTTCTATGTGTAGCGGGCAAGGACTTACAGAAACGCATTTGCAGCATTCAAAGTCGGTTGGAACTGGTCCTCTTGATTTAGTGTTCCGCCATCGAGTGCGTCATGCGGAACAGGATCAGCTGGACGGTTATTGTATAACCTCCTAAGTACGGCAAGCGCCCTAACATGGGGTGCCGATAACTCAACATCTCCGCCGACGCCTTGTTCCTGGCCGTTGTCATCATCAGATTCTGCGGACAGAATATTCAGAATTTCACCCTGCAATTGTCGCACCTCCAGATTCGTGTTAGTGGCACCGAGAAGTCCCAATAACAATGCTGAGCTGAGTCCATTATGGATGATGGGCCATGATCTAGACGCAAGGCTATTGACAGAATGTAAACGAACAAATGCACGGATACATCCAAGTAAGTTCGTATGGCATTTCTCAATAAGAATTAGCTGGGTTTCAGTCCTTTGTTCAGGGCTGCGACTATTTGCAAGTGCAGGCCGGCAGATCCAAGCTACAACGAAGGAAATGTGTAAGCTTAGAGCAAACATCTCGCTGCGCTTCGATATGGAGGAGCGAGATTGGATTCCGGTATTGGCGATGCTGTTCTGGTAGATTTCTTCTATCCTGTAAACACTTTCTAACATCGCCACGAAATTGGGCGAGTTGCCATTTTCTCTGTCCCTGATAGCGCGAAGGGTTCCGTCGCAGAGTAGGTTCATCGCATCTTGATACCGAAGTTCGCCAACTAGATGTGTATCGGATATCGATGGAGTTGTGACAGGAGGGCGATCAAAGCATAACGACAGAAGGCTATCCTGCCACACAAGAGCTTCCCTAGTAGAACTTAGCAACTACTATAATGGATTTTAACAATCTCCCCGTACCAAATCTTTGTCCGTGGTGAGGGACTATCCTTTTGTTTTTCATGTAGACCAAGGCTCTGCGCCATTCTCGCAGTTGTACCCAACAGCATCCACGCGGCCTCGGGCTTCATATCATTCTGCAGAACAGTTCCAAGTACTAACAATGTCAAGATACACGACAATGACGGTCGTACCAGAAAATTTGCCATTCTGAGACATTGAAACGAGTATCGAGCTGAGTTTTATCGTTAGAACTGGATGACGACTGGAGGCAAAATGAAGTACAGTGCTTCAAGTCTTCAACTCACCATATAATCGAGACTTGACCTGCCTTTCCTCGGACGAATTATGAGAATACTGCGCGCCAGATGCTAGTATCGCAAAGAGTGAGGCAACCCATGATATTGGTCTTGAATGCTCAGTTGCATGAGCACCAGGATCCCGAACATACGACTGCCGCTTTTGGAGCGCACGTTCTTCGAGGTACTGGCAGAGCCCAGCTTCAAAATCTTCCATGTCTGGAATGATCGGAGTAAATAAATGCGCACTTAGTTTGTAGCGTTCGAATAACCTGAGCAGGTGTAAGAACATGTAGTCTCAGAATATGGAAATAAGAGAAGAGGAACTTCAAAAAAAATCATAGAATAACCTGGAACTATGAGAATAGTCAAATGTCGACATGTTTCAAATCTTCAGTATTGAAAGCAGATAAATTGATACGGAGACACTGGCACCATATCTCGAGCATAGTTAGAAATAGTGGATGCCGCCTACCTTATTATCTCGGGGTCCGTAGGTAACGCTTGGTAGAGTTCTAAATTTATCCTTTCCGTTGATGTCTCTGGGTGTGGCAGAAAAGGATAGGTGGACTTTGGCCCTTTCAGACCCAGTATCGGTAGGATTGCATCCTCCACGGGGTGGATCGGAGAGTTGTGAATCGAGCCGGCATGTGATGATTGATCCCTGAGGAATGCCGGTATGGAGTTGCTCCCTAGGAAAGATTCTCGCTGCTCTTGCGCCCCATCATCAGCCGTGAAGCGGAAGTCACCGTCTTGCTCGGCCGATGTTGATATGTTGCTCCTAGCTCTCAGCCGAGATGCTCCGCTGGAAACGGAAACAGCATCCACACGTGCATCTCTGAGTAAGGATGATGATCGCAGGTCTTGTGTTTCAGGCATCATAGCATTGCCCGAGTTGGATGCTCCATTCGTCCATTGCTCGGGCGAGGGCTGTTGCGCAAATTGTTGCGCGGCTTGATGCTCGGCGCCTTGAGCTGCAGGATGGTTATATGTTGCAGCAGGATCCGTGCTGACTCCATTGGGGCCAGTAAAAGAACACAATTCGGGATATCCTCTTTTGGAGCAATTATCACACGGCGAAACCTTGTCGCACTTCACCTTCCTCGTCCGACAAGGATAGCAGCTGGTTCTGATTCTTTTGGTCCGCTTATGGAGAATTTGCCGGATTTCTTTATCTGAACGTGGTGGAAGATTATTCATTTTGGCTCATCGTAGTCGCATCAATGCTCCTTTGAAACAAGGTCTTGTTTGATATTTCAATGCGAAAGATGGCTGAAAAATCAGAGCTCGCGTTAAAGTATTTGGTTGTTTACAGGTAGAAAAAGGCGACCTCGTTATTTCCTGATACTGCTCGTAATGCCTAAGGCACTCAAGCTATTCTCGCACATACCTTAATCTGCAAAACCTTATTATAACCTCTCCTCCCGTCTCCCCACCAGCTTCCGCTCACATTCAGGACCTATTGAAATAATTTATTAGGTATTTCTCTTTAATAAAAGGTAGTTTTAGTTTACCATTTCATATTATAAGCTGACACGTGGATGAGCTTAAATATCTCACGTGACACGATTTTGATGACTTGGAAGAGGGCCTGCCAGGTTTGTCAATAGACATTTTTGGTCTTTTGGTCGTACTTGCCTTACTGTGTGAAACTACCTAAGTAATGCATCTGGCCTTTGCTCGGTAGCTTTTCTCGTTGAATTATGGCTGGCCGATTCCCTTGCTTTTAAAATGGACTATTACAGGACGGTTTACTATATCTAAGCTTCCTTATCTGAAGCATTTGTCCATTCATGCCAACATGCCTACAAGCTATAAGCCTCAAAAGGTGGACGATCTCCCTTCATTTCGGGATATGTCTCCAGAGCAGCACTTACAAATCCCTCCTTTAAGATCTAAAGACAAAACTTGTTCAGGCCAAAGATGGACGCTGCAAAGAGACCCAACCACAAATTACATCAGACAATAAAGCATCTGCTCGTGACATAATTGAATGAAGTCTAGCTCTCTATTATCCGCGGGCCGCTAGTAGTCAGGCTTATATTAGCTATCCCTCTAAGCAAACTCCGCAAACAATCTCACTCGAAGTAGATCAAAGATTCCGCAATACATTTGATTTGAAAGACATATAATCACCTGGCTATCTAAAATGCACTAATAGTAAAAAGCACCATGAAAATCCACGACCAAAACCTATCTCCTCCATCCCTTCTCCCGTAACATTGTCAGACACGTGAGCATACCTCCTTAAACACGTTTGGCATAGCCCAAACCAGAATGTTTCTTCCACAGATGCTCAGTCAATTTATCAGCACGGCTATAGCCCCCACCGTGGCTTTTGATGCATCCAAGAACTGGGCATAGATGCGCTCCGGGGATGTTGAGATGCTTGCTGTTTTCGTGGCGGGTGCGGTCTGAGTCGCGGACGAAGGTCTTGGTGCAGAATGTGCACGTTGCTAGCGGAGGAGCCGTGACTATAGCTGCTGCTGGAGCTACTACTATAGGAGCTGCGACTGGAGCTGCGGGTGGAGCTACTACTGGAGGAAGAAACTGTGGAGTGGAGTTGTTATTGACTGGTCCTGAGACTCCGGCAACAATAGGGAAGTCCGCGAGCATGTCGTCCGTGAAGTCCATGTTAGCCCACTTCGAAATATCTCCAGTGTGGGCCAGGAACGGATTCCCTGGAACCATAGCACCCATGTCTGCGGACTGGGTGAAGTATGGATATGGTTGCTGACTGGCCATCCCGGGTTCGGAAATATAGTCCGCTGTCCATGTTGCATTGTACTCTTCATTTCCAACGGGGAAATGGCCAAGTACAGATGGATGTTGCGCTGGAGCCTGCGCCAGAAACGAGCCGTGGTTGAGAGAGGTGCTTTGAGTTGACAAATTTGGAAGCCAACCTCCCACCATGGAAAAATGTGCATCATCGATGATGGGGATTTGGAGATCCTGTGGTATCGGCAAGATTGTGTGTTCGAGAGGACCCGATTCCCACCTGGCCAATGATGATCAGTAAGCGGTGAAAAAAAAAAAAACTTACCCGCCCTCAGCCAAGCCTCCCAAACCCATGTCAGGGTAGGCAGGCTGGCTGAAGTGGTATTGTGTGTCCATCTGGTTGGTTGCATCTCCTTCGTGGCGTTGAGCCTGCATGATGAGGGCGAGAGGGCGAAGACAAGGATCAGGAAGTGAGGCTGGCAGGCGAGAATCTCGTGTAACAAAGCGCAAAAACACCGTGAAAAGGGGTAAAATTCGAGTCTGGGGAGTACGCCATCTATATGCTCCCATTCTGTACCTCCACACCACACTCCTAAACTTAATTCAAGATACGCCCTCCATGCACATGCCAAGCCGTTTACTGATCCAGCCCATCCAACTCCACGAGCCGCATAACAGCCTCCACGACCTCATTCCCCGCGAGGTCCATGCCCGGCTCATCGATCTTCCTCGCCAACACATCGTCAAGCATACCCCTGAGTCTACTAACCAAGACGCCGATTCGCGCCCATCCGCGAAGCCGCAGCCAGCCGTCAACGATGAGGCCGCGGCCTAGGGTGTCAAGGGTGATGGGGCCGGAGAAGAGGAGGGCTGTGTAGGCGTTGAATGCTGTTTGCGAGGCTTTCGTTAGCTACTAACTCACGTAACGAAAATCAGGGAGGAGGAATAAGAGATAAGAGATACTTACGTGTGAGGTCTCTGATGAAGACTTTGGAAGTAGCCATTTTGTTGAAATAACTCATGTAAACACTATTCCCGGGGAAAGTCTGCGCATCGAAAACCGTCGAGCTAGGATGGACAAACACACGTCCATTTTCCTGGTTGAAATACTTGATCGTCCTCGCTTCCGGATCCAGCTCCACGGCCCCAGATACTGAAGGCGCGAATTTCTTGTCGGGGAAATCGATGCGTGCTAGTTGGGGGTTGAAGGCGCCGGCGCAGAGGGAGCGGAGGAGAGGCGTGTTACTGCTGTGCTTGTTGAGGGATTGGAGCGCGGTGGGAGAGTGCGGGATGAAGGATAGTTCGCGGAGGGAGGAAAGGTATTGCGTGCGGTTAGAGGCGATGTCAGATAGGGTTTGGTAGTTGAGGTAGTTTTCGCCGCACCAGTTGCGGACTTCGCCTTGTCGAATACTGGGGAAAAGTTATTAGATATTTTTGACTGAATAGAAAATTAGACTTACCCTCGATTGCTCATCATTTCGTCCCACTGCTCAAAAGCTTTTAGGTCGCCAATCAGATCACCCTGATTCTTAGTGAATTTCGCTCTTGCAGCCTTGGCTTCTTCCCTTTTCTCTTGCGGGGATACGAATGGCGACTTGACAGTAAGAATAGCTGCGATAGTGACACATGCATCCAGACAGCCAAACATGGCTCCGTATACCATTAATTTACCACATCGAAGATCTGCCGGAATCATTGATAGATGGCGACCAAGCGCAGTAAGATCATCACCATCTAAAGCACCCATCCTCCCCAGAAGGTCCATTGCACCGTCCACAGCAATACTTTCGGGTGGTGTCAGAGCACTAGCCAAAAAGGCACTGACTTCCTTGATACCCATGGCTCGGACTGAAAGACAAAGCTGCTCTAGTGGAACTCTTCGAATCTCAGGCTCCGGTCTTTCCATCATCTTGGACATTTCTGCGTTCCGAGTATAAAGCTTGTAGCATTTCCCGGCTTGCACTCGTCCAGCTCGACCACGTCTCTGTTTACATGCTGCACGTGATGCCCATACTTCCTCGAGCTTGCGCATATTGTTCTGTGGGTCATAGCTCGTTTCCTTCACTCGTCCACTGTCAATAACAGCAACAATATCATCGATCGTGATGGAAGTCTCCGCTACGTTCGTCGCCACGATGACTTTCCGCTTCCCGTGCGGTGCATGGGGGAATACTCGTCTTTGATCCGACGATTGTAAAGAGGCATGCAATGGAAGAGTATGAAGGTTCGGTATCGATCGTAAATAATCAATAGTACGACTGATCTCAACCACACCGGGCATAAAAATAAGTATGCCGCCGTCCTGCTTGAGATGGGTAAGGTCTGCATCGATCTCCTTGACAGTCTGCATGACCAGGTCATAGTTAATTCTCATGCCAATGCTCTGGATAGCAGTAGCGACATCCGCATCCATGCCAGCTGTCTCAGCATCTTCTTCGTCTCGTCTTCCACCGCGCCCTGCATTGAAACCCGTCATGCGAATAACGTCGTCAAGGTAATAATCCTCCACAGGATACGTTCTGCCGCTAATCTCGACTCTGCCGACTTTGCCATTACTTTTGAAGTACTGTTCGAAGACGCCTGCATCCAATGTAGCACTCATGAGGATAAGTTTCAGATCTTTTCTCTTCCTCAGAACATCCCTAAGCAACACCAGTAAGAAGTCGGTGTCAAGACTCCGTTCGTGAACTTCATCAATGATCACGTGGCTGACATCCGCCAAGCTTGCGACCACATCCTCGCTGCTTCCGCCAGATGTCTGAAGTCTCCTGAGGAGTACACCGGTGGTGACAAAGGTGATTTTCGTGTTTGGGGTAGTTTTAGATTCGCCACGAATGATATAACCGACTTCTTGGCCAACTGAAGAGCATCGCTCGTCACTTACACGATCAGCTAGGCCTAGCGCTGAGATCCTTCGAGGCTGGGTACAACTGGGTAGATGTTAGCAGTTTTCAAGAGTATAAACCATTATATACTTACATGATTTTGGTGCAATCGCCTAACGCTCGCTGATATAGATCATCGAGAATGAATTGAGCGGACTGGGTGGATTTACCCGATCCAGTCTCCCCAGAAATAATGGTTACTTGGTGCGCAGTGACCGTGTCGATGATAATCTCTCTCATCTCCCACGCAGGTAATTTTCGTCGCTCCTGTATCCGGGTCTGCAACTTTGGATCTAGCTGCCGCCTGGTCCAGTCATCCTTGCTCTTAGAATTGGGTGCCCAAGTAATTGCTCGTGGGTGTCTCGAAAAGTTTTGTCTCTTTCGGTGTATGGGCCGCACTTCGCTGGTTGTTGAAGCTGCAGCAGAAATCTCACGGAGCTTGCCAGGTCTCTCGATAATGCTGTACAGATTTTGCTCGACCCAATCCATGAGATAGAATGACATTTGCTCGCCAAGCCAATTATCCTTCGCATGATTCAGAGCTTGCTTCATTACACTTAGGCGTATATATGAAGGGAGGGCAGCTTCAATGGATACTACTGGAACCTTTTGAGGATATTCTTGAGATCGCCTGATCTGTAAGATTGGCTGTACCTCTTTGTTTCGGCCTCGATTCGCCGGTTTGATGGTTATCCTACAGACATTTTTGGAAGGTCTCTCATAATGCTCGCCGAAGACTGATTGAAGACTGATTAATTCTTCTTCCCAAATGCTTTCAGAGCTTTCTTCGGCATCTTGGGCGGCCCATGACTCTTCATCGGGTGGAGAAACATCCGAATCTTGTCCACTAGACAATAAAATTTCCTGCAGAGCTTCTGCAGCTTTCCCCTCATCATTCGTGACATCGAAGATTTGTTTACACAAGTCCGTAGCATAGCCAGCTTCAGCTAGACGCTTGATGGCGCCCTCCCTTTTCAAGTCGTTGCTTCCCATACTGATTCCAGCTGTGTAGCCCTCGGGCAATGCCCAACGCGGCAGATCATCCTCAGGAACGTGGATGAGAAGCCATTCCAGAGTCTCCTCTCGGTCCTTACATTCTTCCACGGCCTCCTCGACATGGCTCTGCCGAAAGTCAAGATTTTTGAATTCGTTGATGATAGAATGCTTCTGAAACCCTGACATTTTCACATCGTGGGGGTTCCAGATTGCATGTTTCCTTATCAATGCCTCGATTTGTGCACGGGTCCGTTTGCCCATTTCGATTTTAGGTACACGAGTCCATCCTCTGTGAATATTGTGGGATCCAGAACCCGTACCACTTTGGCCATTGTTTCGAAGCGCCAATCCAACACCACCAGGAGCACCCGGAGTACTGGCCGCCTTCTCTCGGGCCTTGTCCCTCTCAGCACGTTTCTTTTCCATCACGGCCTTGGCTTCCTCCCTCTCTCGAAGGGCTGCAAATGGGTCTGCCTCATACATCCAAGCGCGGCCTTCCCTGACATCTTCTTTTTTCAAAACCTCAAATTCTCCCTTCCACAGATCTCGATAATCTGGCGGCATCATCATGTGTATGTTTCGCATGCTGCAGACTCGAAAAAGTCCGTATGTGGCAGCAAAATGTCTGGCTTCGAGAGCCGTAGGCTTCGCACCAAGATGTTTGTGGGAAGGAGGCAGTTTGAAGGGCTGTAACTGGACGAGCTCCTGTGTCTTCGGGTTCTTCGATTTGAGGATCACCTTCGAGGAATAGCCTTCGGGCGTCTTGGACTAGAAACAAACAAAACAATGAGCAGAATCCCTTGATACCACGTATATACTTACCATTGTATACTCCGGCTTCTCCCATTTCTGCTTTTGGCAATGCTCAGAGAGCATATTGACCGGTAGCTTCCCCGTCCACGATGCGCCTCCGATCAGCTTCTTGACATCGGGTCGCTTTGGTGCCTCTCCTGCAAGAGCAGGCCCGTCCTGAGCGGACGATCCAGCAGCTCCATCTGCCGGCTGTTTCTTGGGCTTGGGGTCTTTGTCCGAATTCGAAAAGACGATGAAGCTATCATCACCTGTAGTCGTTGCTGGAGAAGGCTTTTTGGCACCTCCCCCGCCTCCGGGCTTGCCCCCCTTGGACTGCCCTTTCTTGACCATTTTCGGTCAAATACAAACAGTCTGATTGGGTATCCATGTAAGGGTAGATATTTCGCAGAGATAGCGGTATCCAAAAGGTAACAGGTGCAGTCAGTAATGCAATGTAAAGATGACAAGGCTGGTGGGCTTTGATATCTGGAGGTCGCGCTAAAAGAATTTTGGCGGGGCAAATGTTTGCGGCGGGGTTTTCCCGACAGCCTTCACTTACTGTATACTCCGTAGTTTATTTTATATCTATTGACATTCTTGTCATTTTCCTAGATTGATGCACGTAAAATCTCATCCAAACTAATACAAGCCAAGTCTAGTACCAATCTACAACTCCAATCTAAAAGAGAGCTACTCGAGTAAATGGAGAAGATGATGTCACTTTAAAACGAATTCTCTACTCTCCAGCCTTTCCGTTCAGCAACCTTCTAATCATATATTTTCCAACATGACTTCCAAGTTGATCAATTGACACTAGGTGCAAACTTTTGCTCACTACTCGTACTTCCTCCGTCTGCATCTCAACTCATAACAATACTACATGCAGCGATTTCAAGCTCCGTCCTCCAACACCACTTCAACATCCCTTTCTCTCCCCCTACACAACTTACACGCATGCTTGCGTGTAAAATCGAGCCCCAAGGATACAGACACCTAATTCCACGAATACGCCCCCGATAAATGCTCCGCTGCATAGCTCCAGGACCGCAATTGCAGCAGGACGCCTCCTAAGATGGGCAAGGATCGATCTCAGTTGTGCAAATCGTGGTGGAGTTTCGCTATCTGATCCCGGAATTATTTGGTGTGAATCTTGCGATCGATTTATCTTGGCCAGTGGTAGCTGATGATTGTTCCACTTTTGCATTCGAAGGAAGAGGGCCTGGAGCCAAGCTTCGATGGCGAAGATAATTTGCTATCAAAACCCTACGGGGACGGCGTTATATGTACTCGCGTTCCAGGTGCTGATATTCAAACCAACGTCCTCAAACCAATCTTGTTGTTCGTGCGAGCATGTATCATTCCTAACAGGCAAAGCCACCGAACCGCTGAAAGATGAATGGAGGACTGGTGCAGAATTCTGTGATGGCCATTATTTCATCTAGCTCTCATGGTCGTTGGAATCGACATCTTCTTCATTTGCCGCAGTTTTGGGCGCGAGGCGCAATCCCGCTTTTGGGGATGGCATCAGTTGCCAGAGCAAGGTCATGAGGGCGAAGAGCGTTACAAGTACGGGCTGTAACACCTTGATACCATACTTATCGGCAAGTGACCCTACTACAAATGGAAACAAGGCACCACCAGACTGTCCGAGGCAAGCTACGAGACTCAAGGCTCCGGGATGATATCCGTGGGGCGTAGCTTGTGTAACAAGGGATACAGTGATGGGGTAAATAGGACCCATGACAAATCCACATGTGGCTATGGCGATGAAATCGACAATGAACAATGGCGAGGTCCAGATAAGGACTTGCATGGCCAGAGCAATAATCGCGTATAAAGCCACCGCTCTCTTCTCGGTAATGTAAGCTGTGAGTGGAAGAAGCATCACGCGACTGGATGTAAGACCACAATAGAACGCAGCAGAAGCGTAGCCAGACGCAGCTCCTCCGCCCCGTTCCCTCATTAGAAAAGTAACAATCCACCCAGCTTCACCGCTTTCAGTCCCACAGTAGAAGCTATTGAAAAGCATTGCCGCCCACACGGCACGCGATGAAACAACAGTCTTCAGAGACGCAATCTCCTCATTTCTCTCCCTGGAAGAAGTAGCCTGAGATGGAGCTTTGAGAGAAGCGCGACCGCTGATTCCAAAACCCGTTAAGAGCGCAGCTACACTCGCAACGCACCAGGCGAGATTGGTAAGGTAGAAGAGCGGAGGAGCGACTTTCGCTTGCATGAGCACTGTAGCTATTGTAGGCGACAGCAATGCGCCAACTCCATAAGCCGCATGCACTATTCCCAGCTTCGTGGCGGCGCCAGGGAGGCGCGCAACATAGGTATTGAGCTGGGTATCCTGGAGGGCAAGACCGAAGCCCGCCATCACATAGCACACGGCGATGGTGATGAAAGGTGGCCTGAGCGTGATGATCATTGATGCGACTGCTTGAATCACAGCTCCGAGGATAATGAGACGACCGAGTGCGAGTCGGCTGCTCATGGCGACGTTAAGGAGAGATGCGAGAGAGTATCCCGTAAATGACCCGATGAAGACAAGGGAGACTTTTTCGTCTGTAACGTCGCCATAGTAGAGCTGTAAGTACGGAATGAGGGCGCCTATGCAGCCATCGTGCCAGCCTAGTGATGTAGCAGAGACACAACACCCAACAAATCGAGCTATAGCTCGATAATCACGCTTTCCATTAGCAGTCTTCGGGGGTTCGATTTGCGAGATGTCATGGTTTAGATCGCCTATTAGAGGCTGCTCGGCCTCATCGTGAAGGGTCGACATGAAATCTGATAGAGGATAATCGTCTCTTGAAGTGTCGCGGATCATGAAGTAAAGATAAGGTATAAGTAGAATAGAACCCACGTGTACGTAAGCGAATGCGGATAGATTCACCCAAGGATGGATGGGATGTGGAGAACGAGGTGTGGTTTATATATCAAGTGGCGGCCTAAGGCCAAGAGAGGACAAGATAAGGGTTGAAACATGCCCTCCGGGTGCTAGCCTTGGCTTTTAAATGCATTATCTAGTTGATTTTGCATCTCACAGGTGACAAAGTACCATGCGCTCTCATTCTTCTTAAACATAACATCTACGTAGAGGCACCATGTGGTTTTCAAAGATATTTTAGTTGGCTTCATAGATGAAACTCTACATTTTGTATTAAATCCTAATCAGACCACGTATACAGTCCTGACTCCCAAGGTACACAGTTAATAACGAACAGCTGCCACAGCAAAGCCAATAAGCCCACCCCCCCATTAAGTCATCCCCCGTGTCAGGTACCCCGCGTCGTTCCAATCAACTCTTTCCCATCCCATCTACCTAACATGACAGCCCAAATCATAATGCACAAACTCACTCGTAATATCTATTTCCAACTGCGTATCCTCCACCACCCGATCAAAGAACAAACACTCCGTATATCTCTTGTGAAAAGCAATGCTCTGGCAAGCGGGATACACGGCTCGGCATTGGTCGCGGCAGCATCTGAGGGTGCTGTTGGATTCTTGCTCGGTGGTTTCCGTGTAGTTGCCAGGGACTACGGTGTAACCGGAGATACCGCAGAGGGGGAAGCCTATTGCGTATGCTTGGGCATGTTAGTATAATGTGGAAGGATAAAGCAAGGGGGGGTAGAAAGGCAGCGGGAAGTTAAAGGGATAACGGACTTTCGCCTGGTCCTGGTGGGGTGACGAAAGTTGGTGATGGATGGGCTGAGGTATGTGACAGCCCGGTGGATAGGCTGCTGAGCAGCAGTAATGCACTCCAGCCAAGGAATTTCAAGTACATCATGTGGTTCGGAGCAGGTGAGGTTAAGGGCTGCCTATTATGTATTTGAGGTGTCAGATTTCCTTGAAGGTGTGGAAATGGTTCTGAACTTCCCGGAGGAGATAGAGGGCTCACTCTCTACGCTTATACTAATAAAAATCGCAATCAAACAATTGTATCGTCATGTGCGTAACACAGACGAGATGAAAGAGTACAAGCTTAACGGTACCCCGCCTATAATCAATCACAAGGGAGTATGTGTACGAGGCGGATAACTGCAATAGGTCAAAATGACCTTACAAGTCTGCTTCGTACTCTGCGTCTGAAACAAAAGTCGGGCGACAGCCTATGGTCTATCAGTTCAAATGATGCATCATGAGGAATGTTTACTTGGAAGTCCTACAACTCCTATGCTCGTCACTTTGCCATCGAAAAGCAGCTTCATCGAACATCAAGCTTTACAGTCTTAGAAATGAAATAGTTTGAAATTGGACGAATTGGCATGGGAGAAAGGAAAAAGAGATGCATAGCATAAAATCCGTGAGTTTCCGAAAAACACTTGATTTTATACGCAAGTCACATGAAATGATGCTGGAAAACGGGACTCCAAGGGAAGAGAGTTGGCAATGAAGAAGAAAAGGAGCTATTCCCTCATTGTGAACAAATTCCACCTGGTATTCATCATGCCAGTGAAACTGACCAGCAACTAATATGCGAAACCGCTCTTTATTCGAGTCGTGATATATCAACGCAGGTGACAACCTGCGGGTCCACCAAGATCAAGAATCAATCAGGTATGCATGAAAATAGAACGTAGGGGCTGAAGATTCCGACTCAAACCAACATTACTTATTCTGTTAGCAGGAAAATATAATTTTATATCCTTTGATCCCTCTAAAGGCCTCAACTCTGTGATCAGGCCTTTCTGGATGAGCTGCTGTCATCTTTTGAGGAGAAGGCGGGTGGCAATGAGAATAGCCGGAATCCCCTCGCCAATGCAATGCTACTCAATGTCCACCGATCCAACGAAACACAGTAGCATATAGGCAAGTTCAATATCAGCCAAAGGAACGATTCGTTGCCTCGGAAGGCCGGTTAATATCCACCTGCAGCTGGATATCTGAGCACAACACGCCCCACATCACGCTTACATGGAGGGGTCGAGTGGTGGCATTCGATAAAAGCCTTCCTTCATCCCATCCCCTCATTCTCCTCTCTCTTCAACCACGCATCAGAACCACATAATCCCAAATGTGGTGCTGATGCGTGGGTGCCGTGCAGGTGGTGCACGTAGAAGGAGGGGAGAGATGGACAGTGGGTGAAGGCCTTTCTGTCGATGACCATACGACTCGAATCCCGACAGACGCGCGCACCACACCCTCTCTGAGGCGTCGTGGACAAAACCGTCCAACTTGGTATGCACTCATTATCCACCCACAATCTATTTCACCGTCTAATTCTTCTTTACAGCCTCACTGGCGCCGCATCATAAGTTCAGACAAATAAACTCGAACTTGCCAGTCCAACCACGTTTCGCGATCGAAAGCCATCACCGCGAGCGACGGGACGAGATCCATTGCATGGAATTGTATCGAATCGAACGCAACAGCACACGACACAATACAACAAATGTTCCCTCTACGATAGAGAGGAAACACACGTCAACAACCTTTCGAGCTTCCCCAAAAGGTTTTACGAATTACGCATATTATTGGAGTGCAAGGGCTGGAGAAGAACTCCAGTACGAGGAGACGAGGAGCTTCTTCTTGAGCTGCCCGATGTGCTGTGCTGTGCGGGCGGTGCAAGGTAAGGAGCTTTGGAACGTTTTGGACGCTGGATCCGGACACCTTGCCCGAAGAGCACCTTACACACCCTTTCTTATGAAAAACGTTCACCATGTTTCCTCTTGTAACCCATACCGGCAACGAACAGAGGAGTGAATCTGATCCAGCCTTTCTTACTCGAAAAGCCACCGAACTCGAAGCAAAATTTCGAGAGTTAGGGCCGGAAACAATGATCGGCTTCATCGCTGAACCAGTCGTCAGCGCCGCGCTAGGGTGTGTTCCATGTGTACCTGGCTATCTCAAAGCAATGCGAGATGTTTGTCACAAACACGGTGCTCTTTTTATACTCGGCGAAGTCATGTGTGGAATGGGTCGGACTGGCACTTTGCAGGACGAGGCCGATTCAACCTAAAGATGGTAGCAAACTTGGTTTTGCTGAGGAAAGATTTGCATCACCTTCCCCTATATTAGGGGGAGAGACGAGAAGGAAGTCTTACATGCTTCCTATGACTGAAAACGGGGGTAAAAAGGGTCAGTTTACTTCAGCTTTGATATGAGACAATTCTAACTGATTTTTAGGCAACACGAGCTCTTATCTTAGTCAAGAAGATAACGACATATCCAAACACGAAACGAAGCGGTTAGTCAAACTAGGGTTTAAAAGAGCCAAGAAGAGTGAAATGCGTGATAGCAAAAAAAACCTAAAGACTCGAAAGGGAGTGGAGAAGGAAATCTTCTTTTTACAAAAGATGAACGCAAGGTGTTTGATGCATCTTCAGGCGCAGCTGTCTCTTATCTCGGTTATGGAAATAAAAGAGTAAGGAGATAAATTGGTGGCGGAATGTGAAGGTTGGGCATGATGATTGGGTGTTTGATCTGGACCCTTCTTATGGTGCAACTGCCAATCAACAGATTTTACGACAAGTCTTTGTTAACGAGGCCGGCGAGACTAAGAGGGTTAATATATCTATTAGACTTACACTAGTTAGGAAGTTAAAAGCGCAACTTCCAATCAACAGATTTTATAACAAGTCTATATTAATAAAGCTGGCGAGACTAAGAGGTTTAATATATCTATTCTTACACCCAGTTAGATGATATAATCTAGGAAGTCAAAAGCTACTAAAATTATAGTTTTTAGTAAAAGGAGTGTATATTATTATACTTTTCAGGTTAGTATAAAGATAGGACTAGGTGTTATAGCAGGTCTTTAGAGTATTCTAGTAGATAGATCAGACTCGACTCTGGTTTTGGTGGTTTGTATTGTGATGTGTTTCTATAATATCAACGTATATATTCATCTATCTACTCCCTATATATCAGATTCTCCTTTTACCCACCACACACACAC